TCCTTCACTTGCTTGTCTTGCTTATGATAAAATATTTAGTCAGTTGACAGTGATATTGTCTGATGTTTAATGCGCTCCCACAGAAGCACAATCCTTTCATCTCGACAGGATTATCTTTGTCCGATGAATAAATGAGAAAGCAAACATGTAAACATCAGCTCTGATCTCGTATCGTATTGTTGAGGACTGGAGCCTTGATTCTGTTCAACAACTGTAGGTTTTCCAGATTCAAATGGTACTTGCATTTAAAAAAAAAAAAACCCCGCTGTGCTTGTGTTGCTCAGAGTGATTGACAGCAGCGTCGTCTTCGGTCCATATTTCAAGCTTTCAGCGTCACCACCTGTTTCTCGGTGTGTCAGTATCAAGAGCGCCAGTGGTATACTTGATCTGATTATATTCAACAAAGCTTCTTTTTTTTTTCCCGTATGAAACAAAACCGTTCATTAAAGAGCAAAGACATCGAAGCGTGTTTTTACGGACGCAGGAAGCGTAATTTAACTGATGCTTTTTAACCTCACACTTTCTTTATTTGCCTAGCCGAGTGCTAACCTGTGAATGATAGCATTAGTTACATTTAAATGGTTTCAGGTAATTCATTCAGCAGTAGCAAGTGGAAAATTCATCGCATTTTATACTGTGGCATAATAACAAGATCAAAAAGGTTTTACCTCAGGTAGCCTGGATGGTTTATGAGTTGCCTTTTTAAATAGTAAATCCTCCAACAACAGATTTGATTGTCATGCATCTTTTTCATTACGCTGCTTTAAAAACAATGGCTTTCATTTTGGAAATTGATGAGAGGATTGATTAATGTAATGGACGGCTATAAAAGAACTCTTTCCCCATTTTGATTTGTTGGCACCGCTTCCAGGAAAAGTTTCACTGGAGCTCTCGGGAGAGGAGGAGAGCGGCTCTCCCAGATTATTTCTTCAAGTGCTTTGATGAGATTATTGCAAACAAAATCTATGACGCCTGTTTCAATCACGGCTTTTTATGGCGCATGACTGGAAGGAGAAGACGAGGAGGGAGCCAAGAGAAAAATACAGCAGTCGTAACAAAGCTCGACACAAGAAATACCACACTGCATCAGGCGTGGAGCCTCCATTGTGCCTTATTTTTTCTCTCTTTCTCTGTCGGTGTTGCTTTTACTATAGTGAAACTGTAAAAAAAATACTATTCTATTATTATCTATTATAAGTAAAAGCATTTGAAATTGTACTCATGTTAAAGTAGAGAAGCATTAGGAGCACAGTGTTAGATTTAGTTAAATTATATTCACTTTAAGTGCATTTTAACCGCTTTATATATTGCTGGATAATTCAGTCAATAATAATTCACCATATATTACTTGTTAGTCATATGTTTTATGCAAAAACAATCTGATAAATAATAAATTTGGTGAACAAAAGTACAATGTTTCCCTCTGAAATCAAAGGGACTGGGGAGTAGAAGTATAAAATTAAATAAAATGAAAATATTCAAGTTGAATACAAACACCTCATTACTTTAATTAAGCATAATACCTGAGAAAATGATCAACTTTCCACCACTGGCACTCGGGATCCAATTGTTTCCTCTGCATTTATTCACTAAATTAAGGCACTTGTGCTTTATCGTTTACGTTTTCAGTTCATGCTACTTTATGTTTTCTACTCCACGACAGTCAATGAATATCTTCTTTTTTGGTTGTTGCTCTGTTTGGACGACCCGCTGTAATAACTTTCAGCGTTTGAAATTGAATTGCGCGTTACCTCGAGGCTTAAAACGCCGGAGATTCAGCAACAAGTGTGAGGCGCACGGCAGTCCATCAGTCTCTAACACGTGTGCGATGGCGGCACACTGACAATGATAAGCGCTTTCAGGACACATGTGAAGTTATTGCAGGGTAAATGTGAGTTAGAATAGTGACATAACTCATCATAAATCTGTAGCAATTAGGGGGCCCCTCTTAGCCGGGCGATTCCCTCCCTTGCCTAATGTTAAAAGTCCACCCCTAACGATGTCATGGTAACAATACTGAAGGGGAAATCACAAGGCGATGCAGTGTGGTAGAGTGAGGCAAAAAGGTTGACAAGGCAAAAAAGCTGGTGTTAGAGGTGCAGTGCTGTGACTGGGGAGGGCAGTGGGACAGCGTTGGGTTGAGGCGGTGAACAGAATGCTTTGATTTAAAAAAAAAAAAAAAGCTCAAACGGAGAGGAGTAAATTGAAAAGGAACTAAGGCCAGTGCTGCAATCAATGGCGTTTTTTCTTTAAGGATTCTCTGAGAGAAGGAGGGTACAAAGGTTATTCAGTCTGTTACAATCTAAAATAGGACGGACAAAGGAGGAGGAGAAAAAAAACAACAAAACAAAACAGAAAAGTGCCGATTCAATACCCTGCTGCATTATACACAGAGAGAGAAATGAGGAGAGAAATTGGTCGGTGATACATACTGCAGAAAACGTGTGTCGGAAAAAAAAAACAAAAAACGAGGGGATGTTTCTTTCATCAAGACTGTGTGCGAGTGTGATTATATGGGTGAAGAAGAAGAAGAAGAAAGAAAAAAAAAGAAGAAGGGAGGCGATGGATTGGAAAGATGCTGCACAATTGAGACGGACAGATATTTCACATGTAATATTGTTGATAGAGCTAACACTGACCATGGCTTTTCCTCAACATCCAATTTGACTCAGTGTAGCAGGAAATGTGAGCGGCGAGTAATTTCTCTGTTTAACCTGCGCGACTTTGCCGGATTGTATGAATAAATGAACATCGTTTTGGGGCGGAAGAATATTGACAGTGACGGCTTGACTTAATGAAAATGCAGTAAACATGAACTGCAATTATAAAGCTGTAAATTGGTGCGGGACTGGTGTGGGGGCTGGTGATTGGTTTTGAAAAGGAGGAACGGCAGAGTCTTGAGTGGGGGGGGTGGAAAAGTTGAGAGACAAAGTTTGAGCAGGTGAGCGAGTGATTACTCACGTTTTCCCGCTCTCTCTGTCGACTGTCCGCTCCTTTATTGCCTTCTTGCCAAAAAGCTCAGCTGTGTTACTCTTCTTCAGACAAACAACCTGAAGAGAAAAGCATTTCCTCCCTGTCTCTCTCTCTCTCAGGCGCTTTTCCCATGATGCACGGCTGTTCGCTAACAAGAGAGGACAGTCAATCGAAGTGGCCCGCCTTAAGCTCGCTGTTCCTTGGTCTTGTTATGTGTTTGAAAAGCAGCGCACACTCTCACAGGCCATTTAACCAGTGCAGTAATGACAGAGGCAAACACTCGCTCGATCCGAAACAGCACAAATGGATGGACGTGCTACCAGAGCAAAACAACACTGAAACAGCCCTTCTTTTTTTTTCACGTGTGCAAGTGGGAAGTGCACATAACATTTTTATTTTAACGATACATGTATCTTTAAAAGCACACTTCAAAGTCTCTGCTTGCATTTCTTCACACGTGCGTACGCATGTCAGCCCCAATGTCCTCGGAGGAGTTGGAAATGAGAAGCTTTCCTGCACGACCACGAGCACCACACACACACAAACACACACACACACACACACACACACACACACACACACACACACACACACACACACACACACACACACACACACACACACACACTTTTCATGGGATAGAACCGCATAACCTCAACACAAGGGATGCAAGTGCTGACAAAGATGTCCGTGTTTGTGTACTGGCTTATGTGACCGTCTGCGTGTTGGGTCTTTCAAATGAGAAATGAGCTTGACTAACCATGCAGAAACACTCCGCTGCAGAATTGCAAAGCAGCACGACAGGAGAACCACATGTTGGACGGAAAAAAAAAAAAAAAAAAAAAGGAAGACGGAGAGGTAAAAAAATAAATAAATAAATAAAATTAGATGTTAAAGAAGAAAACCATAGCCTGAGGAGATTTCCACTTGTGGGTTTTCTTGTTGTGAATGAGCTCACGGTGCGTGTGTTTTTTTCTCGTTTGAATGAATTCCAATCGCTGTCTTAGCAAATGCTCATATCCGACTATTTCTTCATTGGCTCTCGCTTGCTGTCAATCAGTGAAAGTTCGCTTTAGCCACAGTCCTAATGAATCACCTGTTTGTGGTAAGAAGGAAATATGATCCTAAGGTGATGTAAACAGGAAGTCACTGTAGATTCAGTAAGTTTACAATTGGCACTATCATAAGTGTGCCGTATTAGCTATTAGCAGTACCTGTTTGCAGTGTCCCCATGGATGTGCCCACACAACTGTGAAGGAATCACTGGGACACTGAGGAAAAGTTAAAAGGAGCGTCTTTTTGTCTGTTATTTCCCAGATTTAGGGACATTTACTTGAGAGTTAATGATAATGTTAATATGTTGTTTTTTTTGAAGTATTTAATTCTACAAGCAAATCACAGTTAAACTACAATAATCAACTTCCCCAGTCGTTTATAAAACACACCAGCATGACCTGTTCGTTTCACCTGCATCGTTCTATCTACGATGTTATTGCCCCGTTTGTTTACTTTTTCTTATACCTACGGATAAAGTGATGTGTAGATGATGCACCACAGAGTGAGGTTTTTAGAGCAGCTACGATGAAATCTCACAGCGGAAAACACGTCCATCTTTTCAATGCAGCACCAGAAAACAACTTTTGAACGAAAAAGAAAAAAAAAAAAGAAGCTTCTCTCCGGACTCTCGCATTTAAACGCCATTCAACGATCATACAGGGAGAAATCCATTGCAGGCGAGGCACCGGCACCAATTTCTCCACTGACAGCAACCTCATTTGTCCAGAAAGCATTGCAAGCAACAAGGCCTGCTGTGTTCTGCAGCTTGCTTTATCTCGACTGGAACATCTTGCTCTCTTGCTTTTGTTATCGCCAACGCTATCACTCTTTCCAAGTGGCATGAACACACCACAACACAAGAAAGTTCAGAAAATATTCTCTGGGGGTTCCCAGGGGTAGCAAGTGAAGGAGAAGTGGATATATTACAAAGACAAATTACAAGATCAAGTTTTTCCTTGTCATGCTTTTACCTGTAATGTCCGGTTTCTGTGGCATGAAGAACTGATAGAAGGTCGGCTCCGACAGGCCCTTGACGTTGCGCGCCGTGATTTCCACCTCATATCTCGTGTTCCACTGCAGCGGCTGAAGCATCGCAAAATCATTCGCCCCCGGAACCAGCTTGGTCATCCACTGTTCCTCTTTATCCTGGCGGGAGAATAAAGAGGAGGCAAGAAAATAGAAAATAAAGTCAAAAAGAAAATAGCCTGCTTACCCCTTGAATGTATGCTCCACATTTTATTCTGTCAGCGAGCATCAAAAGGAGAGGAAGTGTTGCTTTATGTGATAAACAACAGCTTACCCTTTGTGTTTTTAATCTGGGGAGTAACCGCAATCACAAATTGAGTCGCAGTTGCGAAGCGCCCCCACGCAGATGCACTTGCATAGGTAAAAAGAAAAAAAAAAGGGTAATCCTCTGTTTTTCCATCGAGTTCACGCAAGTTCTCTGATACGTTTCCATCCCTTTGTGGCCTCAGCCTTCTCTTTTTTACCCCCCCCGCTCCCTCTTGTTACCAATTGCAAACAACAGATTGGAGACTGAAGAGTCAGGCTGAGAGCTGTACACTGAAAACATGCCAAACGCACTGTGTACTTAATATTCTCGCCTGCTTGGCACCTCGTCCTCCCGATGTTAGAGGACAGAGAGGAGCGCAAAATGAAGCCAAGATACAGGGACATAAATGTATCTAACATTTGTCCAGATTGTCAGGTAACTCTGATGCGTCTGGAGTTCATCCGAGCCTGCACCTCCATGATTGAGCACATGTACGCCAGACGAGGGCCATAAGATTACTAGGGGTAGGTGTGTGTGTGTGTGTGTGTGTGTGTGTGTGTGTGTGTGTGTGTGTGTGTTGAAAGATCCGCATTTTTTTCCTTGCACAGCCTGAAAAAAAAATAAAAAAAAAAAGCTGAGACTTCCTGACCCTCTTCTCCACAGCATGTTTTCATCCGCGGCGGTATTATTTTAAATCGCTGTCACTTCCTCAATGAGACAGAGAAATGCCTGCTTGGACACATTAGCATTGGGGAGATAGGAGATTTAGACCAGCTCAAATCCACTTAGTCCTGTGGTGAGTTTTTGTACGAGTGCCATCTCTTCTGCTTCCTGGCCTCATCTCGGCGGCTCGCCTTATCTTGTGAGTTTAAGCTGCTTTTTGCTATTTTACATACAAAAAAAAAAACCCAAAAAAACATCAACTACTAATATGGAAGAGTGAATTCTGAGAGTGTGTGTGTGCTCTCGTTTAAAACGCGAACTGTAAGTATCGTTTTCCCGCCAACATGCTCACTCAGCTCAATCAACAGGAGCCTATCAAGCTATTGACTCAAACACGCTCCACCCGGGGAGGAGACAGCCTTTCCAGTGTCACATGTCGCTGTTGCGTTGAAGAATGAAGAATCTATGACAGTGAGCCGTTCTGGCGTCTTTCATATGTTACTAAATTGCACACTTGAAAATGAGAGAAAACCTCCTCATTTTCTCAATTTACTAAGCGCTTTCTCCCTCCATTCAGCCACTATTGTGGGTTCATTATCAGCACTGCTTCTTTGTTTAGTTCAAACTGTGAAGGCAGAGTCAACAAATAGTGTATTAAGCGTCAGTTTCAAGTGTGTAGAACTTGAGTTGGGCGATTATGCAAAAAAAAAAACATAAAGAAATAAATTCTCATTCCGCTTTTTTTTTTCTTTCTTGGCGTCAGTGTTTTTGGATTTCATTCACACACCGGGGGAATCTTAGTGTGACGCTTTGATATGTTTCACTGTAAATGACTCACAGTCTTGTACTTGACTATGTACTCCACGATGGGCATCCCTCCATCGTCCTGCTTGACCAGCCCCAGCCTGTAGGCCTTGCCCATTCCTCTCTGGCCGTGGACCGCCGGCGGACTTGGCTCTCCTGAGGGAGAACGTGGTGAGAAGGAGGCTTCAGAAGAGATGTGAGACAAAACGCCTTTGTGTGTGTGTGTGTGTGTGTGTGTGTGTGTGTGTGTGTGTGTGTGTGTGTGTTTTTTTTTTTTTTTTTTTTTTTTTTCTGTGAGAGGATGTGTGTGTCTGCCTGTGTGTGCATTCCCAAGGAGGGGAGCAGGTGGCAATGTGAGATATGAGATAAGGATGCAGTACGAGGAGAGGGGAGGTTTTAAGCTGAATTAAATTCATATTACAAGGCAACTCCCACTGCCTGGCTATAACTAATGTTGACTGGAGGCTCTTATTATTCACTGTATTTTGCTAATTGGATCTTCCTTCTAACATTCATTCTCAGTAGCTGCACTGCTGTGTAATATTAACGGTGGAAACATTTTTTTTTTTTCCTCTCTCGATGGCCTTGCCTGGATTTACTGCAATCCTGCTGTGCCAGATTGCCAGAATAAATAAAATGCTTATCATAAAACCCCTGCAGTATAACATTTTTAATGCAGCAGTTTTACATCAAGACACAAATTTGACAGGATCTATTCCAATAATATGGATTCATATCACTGAAATATGAGGAGGTTGTAACCACCTCAAACATAAGCACGAGCCAGAGTTTCATAAGTAAGTCTCATTTTGCCAAGGTGCTGATGCTTGGAATAGATTTCACAGCTTGTTTGTGGTTCTATCACATCTTTATTTTATTTTATTTTATGAAATCAGGACACACATATCTTTCTGATTTCAAGTCAAATACATTTGCAGAGCGGTTATATCGGCGCTTACTGTCCCATTTGATAATATATATGACATTTTTGTACACTGGGGTTTGTTTCCTCATTATCTTCAGCACATCTTCATTCATTAACTGCTGGGACGTGCTGATAATTAACAATTAACCCAGTCTACGTGCTCATTGTCGTAATGAATTCAAGTGATTATGTCTGGATTTAATTTCATAGATAGATAAGTGAAGTGGCTGCTAGAATGGTTTAGGAAAATTCCTTTTGGGTCGAGTTGAGAAGCTCTTATTTTGAAGAATGCCACAGGAAATGAGGAAGAACAGAGAGTCGGGCTTACGGATGGGTAAAGTCTGGAAGGTCTCCGTGTGGCTGAACTCCCCCTGACCTTTCCCGTTGACAGCCGCCACTCGGACCTCGTACGTCGTGTTGGGCTCCAGTCCTGTCAGCACCACTGTCGCTGGAGAGGCACAACCAGAGTTCGTTCATCATTGCTGTCAGTGCAGACAGCAATATTGAACATCATCAATGTACACAAAGCCTGAAAATCATTTACGCCATATGTGCATCGCAATACTCTTGAGAGATTGGACTGTCATGCTGTGTCTTAGTTTCCCCTTGAGAAAATAGTCAGTAATTATAGATTTATTTCACTTTCTTACGATTATGTTTTAGTCTTGATATAAGATATTACACTCTTGTATTCCTGTTGTTGAATTATGTCATTGCTTTGATTGTCTTGTATACCAACAAAGAAAAGAGACTTGCTGTTCACACGATTCGTGCTCCATGGAAGCGCCTGTGACCGAAAACGCTTACGCAGCGACTGCTTTGGAAATTATTTTTTTGTTTTTGAGGCTGTGCACCCAATTAGCCCTCGTCAGAAGAGAGGAGGCTGTTACAGCGGTATGTTAAACGCAGTCGGTGTGCACGTTTGTCCCGAGTCAACTGATATATGCAGTGCAGACCGTAAAGGAATGATGGAACTTATCAGTGCACTGGCACCGCTTGATAGAGAAATACGCTGGCTTCACTTTAGAGACTATTGTTACAGCTCAATATGAGCCGATGAGCTTGCGGTGCTTTCACAAAAACATGTCTTATGAGGTCATAGTGACCTTGACCTTTGACACCCAAAATTGGATATTTCCAACCATCCAACAAGCACTGACACCTCAATTCTTATGGTTTAACAATCACATGAGTGTAAGTTTCGCCCGTGTTTTGTATTTTAAAGTTATGTTCCACCAATATCGAAACCAGACCTATTATTATATTGATCTCTACAAGAGTCATTGCCTCTCTATCATCCCCTGACTTTCAAGTTTCAGAATAAAAGTTGAAGCTGAACGTCTAAAATATAACAGAGCAGCTACAGTATTCTGGTAAAATACTTATAATAAACAGTATGGGAGGATAATTATGTGAATGCAAGACGATATTAAGAGTGTAAATATTTTGTGTACAATATACTAGAGTTAAAAAAAGAAGAAATAATTAGAGTTGAGAAAACAGATGCACACCTACAATAATATTGAACAATGAGTTATAATCAGTGGTGTATTGAAAGATACAACCACTGTACATTATTCTGGAGAATATCAGAAGGATACCAACAGATAAAAAACAGTGTAGTGTTTTGCATTCATACTGTAAAAATCCCATTCATGATTGAAGAAAACAGGAAATCTCATTATCAGAGCACATTACGGATCCCCATTTAAATTCTACAGTGATTAGAGTCTGTTTACATAACCTTCACTATTCAGAAAATCCAGCAGAGAGCCGGCAGTGTAACGAGCCTGAGTGAAAGTTGTTGTTTTTGTCAGTCGGCACAAATTAAATACTTGAATGGTAATAGGTGCTCTCGCCGTTCTTTAGTCCCAGAACTGAAAAACAAATTCTGCAATTTGCAGCCGTGCTAGGTTCGTTTCCAGGCCATAAGCAGACATTTCAATTTAGGCAACAGCATTTCCAATGAAACAAGTCCGGGCATCTCATTATGATGAAGAGTTTATTGTGTAAGTACTTTCCAGTGAGGAGGAGGCTTCTACGATTATATGATGCCACTTAACTGCCTTGTAATTAGTCCAGCTCACTATTTTAATATTTTAGTCCAATATTTTAGTTGAATAAAAAAAAACAAACAAACAAAAAAAACATTTAACTAAATTAAATTGATTAGCTTTATTTATCTGCTTCTGTTCCTGATGTTTCCTCCCTGCATATGTGCAGTATATTTTTACATACACTGTTGAAGCCCTAGCTGGTGTTTAGTATTCACCTCACTGCATCTCCATATTGTAACTGACTCTGAAATGAGGGATATTAGTGATAAGCCCTTCAGGTTTGTCGGACCTGCTTATCACCCGACCATTCGTCCTCTGGCTTCCATTTTCCTTCCATCCATCCTTCACCTCGTGGTGTACTTTCCCCACCAACAGGCTTGGAAATCAATTAGGAGTCGCAAAAGCATAAGAAGAGGAGGGGCGTGCTCTTTCAGCTCTGACAGGTCTGTGGCGCTCTGCCCCGCGAGGCGTCTCGGGGTTCGTCGTGACCTGGTGACATCTCAGGGCAGATCATGTGATACGGTTCCGACTAGTGCTCGATGGGTGTCAGCTGATGAGCGGCGGTGTTAACGGGCGGAAACTGCTTGTTAAAGCCAGATATGATGTTAATGTGGCGTGCAGAGAGGTCCGATGTGGCTGGTCTATTGAGTAGAAGCTGTAGGTTTTTAAAAAAAATATTCTTATTTCTCAAAAGTGAAGTAGTCATATTCATGACTATGTATGAGTATGAGGGGTCATTGAACTCATCATTTTACTACAGAGCTAATGTTACATGTAAAAGCTAAAAAAGTTTTTGTGAAGAGCCACAGGATTGGAATAGAGAGAAGGGGAACGACATGCAGCAACGATTGTTTTTTACATTCCTTTTTTATTCATTGCTGCCATGTGAAAAACCATGTACCATTAATAGTATTTTTTTTCTGTAAGGATGTTTCACAAGAAAACCTGAATGAAAGCGAGCACTCTTAAAGAAATGTGCCAGTGTTTTCAGCTCTGTAACTAGAAATGACAACTACTTAGTTTCACTGTGGACCATTTTCTGAGCACTTGTGTGCAATTTCACATTTTATGAAGGTTTTTTTCCCCTGATCCTTGACCTATGATCCTACGATCCTTGACTGTATCAGCTTATGTTTGAGGAAAATTACTTTCATCAAACTCTATTTAGACATCAGTGGATCATAAAAGCCTCAGAAGGTCTCAGAAGTTACAGTAACCTTTGACCTAACGATGTGAGGATGAAAGAGAGAAAGCATGTCATGGTGACTGCTGTTATCCACCTCTCATATTAACTATGTTAACAAACCTAAAGGTAATTGGCTCTGTCCATGAAATGAGCGGAGCATGTGAACAGGTGAAAGCTTTCTCATCGATCTGACACGTTCAACCGACCTCAGTAATGAAACGCAAACAGTAATGGACATGTTCAAATGGGCTTTTAGCTGTCTTAACAATAAGAACATTGTCCGTAATGCCTTCCACCTCCACCTCCTTATATTTTGCACAATGGCTGTATCTTCCAGTCATTTTCTGTACAAGTAAATCAGTGATAAAAAAAGAAAAAGGAAAAAAAAGACTTTCACTGTTAGCGTTAACACCACTCACTCTGGACACTGTGCGACTTGACGTCCCTCCAGTCCTGCGAGCCCACCTCCTTGTACTGGACCAGGTAGTAGCTGATGGGCACGCCGCCGTGCGAGTCGGGCTTCATGAAGGTGACGGTCGCCAGGCGCTGGGAGACAGCCGACAGACGCACTGAGTACGGATTCGATGGTACGTCTGAAAAGACACAATAATGGCATCAGTTACGAACTTGTTGGTTTTGGTATGACACCAGTTTTGCCTGAACCACTTTTTCACTTTTTCAGGATCTGAAAAAAAATCATATTTCACAACCTTGTATGAATGAAAGCAGGAAAAAAAAAAAAAAAGAAAAAAAAAAAAAGGAAGGCTGATGTTGTTGAGATATTTCAGTCTGGAACAAAGTGGTAGACAGACTAACCGAAATACCACTAAATGCATCTTTTAAAAAAGGATGAAGGTACTTAAATGCTGCAGTCGATACCTACTTTGCCTCCTACCTATTACATCACCGCCATCCCCATAATCAAACTAAAGACAGACATTATGGCTGTAATAATTCTAGGCCTTGAAAGCAATAGAACACTGTGAGGGAAGGTGGTACATCACTCAGCTGCATCTACCATTTGTCCTTCGGCTAGTTTTAGCTGCAAACCAACATATTTGCTCTTTTTTTTCCCCATTTTTGTCACTTGGAAAGCATCAGTGCCTGATTCAGCCTTATTCAAATCAAAACAGTCCGATTCACGACAAACTTATTTTCAAGAAAAGCAATTCCTACTGGTGTTCACTCAGGGTTTAGCTCTGTGGAGACACTGTGGTGGAGGGATGAGTCTTTTTCAGCTTGTCAACTGTATCCAACTTTTACTAGAGTGTGTGTGTGTGTGTGTGTGTGTGCAGAATTCTAAGTGTCAGAACCACTTCCAAAACACATTGTTTTCTGCACGACTACATGTTAGGTCAGCTTTTTGCTCACTACTTTCCCCCTTTGCAGAGCAATTCAATCAGCACTAAAGATAATTGGACTGCACTATTGTGTATTAGCCTCCGCTACAGTAAATTAGGGGCTACTTCAGTGAATAGCGAGGGGTAGGGTAAATCAGATGGCGCTATTTGAGATTAGGCTAGCCTGAATAGAGGTGGGGGGTTGTAGTGGAATTCATCTTCCTGAGAATTGCAAATAAGGTGATTACTATTAGTGGAGAGGTAGAGGGTTACAAAGTAGCTGGATGGTTGGAGTTAGTGATTCAAAAGATTTAGGGTCCCAGACTGCACACATTCTGGACTTGAAAACAAGTCCTCATTCTCATCGGCTCAGGTAAAGGGGCCACACAGTAGCGGCAGCTCTGCAGACTCACCTGCCTGGGCCAGGATGAACTCCTGGTATCGAACTCCTATGTTGTTCCTGGCTGTGCAGTTGTAGCGGCCAAAGTCCCTGTCAGACATAGGAGTCACCTAGAACCAGAGAATAATAATCAACCAGAGCGAGTTACATTACAAACCATTATGTTTCTTACATAACTCTAATGGTAGAGCGAATACGTTGGTTGGAGATAACCTGCCTCTGACATTTCTGCTTCTATCCCATCACAGTGGAGGTCAATGGAGTTTTGTTTGTGGAGCTCACTGAATATAAATGAAGTAAATATAAAGCTGCACCAATCAACATTTTTACATTAACAATGGATCAAATGACTGTTTAATGTGAAAGAGGTCACTTGTAGTGAGACTTATCATAGCTTATCGTTTTGGTTTTGAGGCCTGCAGCGTTAATGTTTTGGTTCACTCGCACTTCTCTATTCCATCTTGTTTCCAGCTGCTTTCAATAGAAACAATCTTTTTTATGAGGGCTATTTCTTTAATTAAAAGTTGTTTGGATGAAAATTTCACTTTCTTTTTGATTAATCTGTCACTTTTTTTATTTTTTTATTAGGTGATTAAATGTTTAATTTATAAAATGTCAGAAAAATACTGAAATAAAACCATCATCAAATGACATCTTTAACTTGTTTGTTTTAACACAATCAGGAGATGGAACTAGTTTAATTATTATGATTACAAAAGTTGTTGTAGATCAATTCTCGCTCCATCACAAAATCAATTAATTGTTTTACTAATCTCGATGCTATTTAATGAGGCAATGGTAAGTCGTGCGGGTGTTGCCTCATGTTTTGCAATTGCTCGTAAACAGGTCAATACCGCGGCTTCGGCTTCCATCACCAGCGACTGGCACCCACCTCCAGCACAGACTTGCCCTCTGCGCTGTGCACCCGCGTGTTGGCCGTTCCCTCCGCAGAGATGGTGAAGCGCTCTCTCCTCCACAGCATGGTGGCGGGAGGGTTGGACATCACGTCGCAGCTTATGTTCACCGGGTTCCCCTCCCATGAGTAATAGATGGTGTGATTGGTCAGGAACTTTGGTATGTCTGTCAAAAAAAAAAAAAAAAAAAAAGAGAAAAGAAAAATAGAGATATTATCGCTCACACCTCCATCATTTATATGGCAAAGTAGTGCTAAAGCAAGACCTGACTTGCTAAAAGAGTAACCGGTGGTATGTCAGGAATTTGTGGCAGCCAATTAAACTCTCAAATCAAAGGTGGAGCTGCGCTGGATGATCAAAGTCATGAAAATGACTTACTCAGGCTTAACCCCCAAATTCCTCAAAGGGAGAAGAAAAAGCATTTCATTAATTCTTCCCAAACTCCTCAAACTTAATTCAAGCCACCTCATGCTGAGGGAAAGTAGGGGAAGGGTGGGGGGGGGGGTCTCCTTCATGATCATATCCTCAGGAAAAAAAAAAAGGATGCAAACAGAAGCTCATTTGCCCCAGCAAATAGGAAGGGCAGTAATGGACGATCGAAGCGGCGAGCTGTCGTGCGGATTTCTCTGGGCCCAGTCAGCCCCAGCTCAGTCAGAGAGGCATTATGGTTGTTTTATGCTCGCTTGCAGGATTCCATTAAAGAGATTGATGCCCGGCTCTCTGTCACAGCCGAGGACGTGTTATCCCCCCGCAGCCTGCAGTGACTTAGTAAATGAGTTCATTAGTTCGGTGGCAATGGCTGGCTCAGCCCCGCTGCACTCAAACACACATGCACACACACACGCACACACACACACACACACACACACACACACACACACACGCACACACACACACACAGCCTGTGTCTTTCCGCAGAGTGGGAGTCAAGTCTGAGAGCAAGTTGTCAGCTGTGGCTCCAGCAGAAAACAAGTTCACAGCAGAATGACAGCGACTTCATGGTTTGGAGAGTGGGTGCGTGCATGTGAGATCAGGATGCCGTCTAACTTTTTTTCCAAACACGTCAACTTCTCAAGAACTATGCAACACGGGTTTTCGGAGGGGAATCTGTGAACCTCAAAATTCACCCCAGCCAGAAGAGGAGAAAATTAGTTTCCACATGACAACAGAGATGAAGTATTCACTTTATCCCCTCGCTGTCTCTCTGAATACATTTGTTTGTCTGCCCGCTCTCTCTTTGTTGTTCCTCTGAGCTCCGAGGCGGAAGCGCGGCTACCTACGGAAAAGTGCGTTTTTCCATTGGTCTCGTTCCGGCATCACAGCCGCCCTGCTCTTCATAATGAACCTAATCATTCCGAGGCCAAAATGGAGATCTTTGCTTCAGAGCTCATTAGGCAGGGGATAGCCCGCCCCAAATAACCCCAAACAACCAGCGCTGAGGAATGGGTGCGCTCATCGGAGGAGAAGGGGAGTTGTCAGCAGGGTGGAAACGAAAGGCGATGCATGATATCCTCTCACTAATTCACCCTTCTGGAGGCTGTGTGTGTGTGTGTGTGTGGTGGTGGTGGCGAGCTGTTTATAGTATAACGATCTTCAATAAGAACCAACGCCGCCACAGTGGGACAAGAAGCAAAGTTGAACCTCTGAACCTTGTACGTGTGTCTGCAGGGAATTCGCACATCTCTGGCTGCTTAAATGTGTGGACGTGTTTCATTTTCAGATTAAGGAGACGCGGTGACCGGGTGGCTCCAACTTGTGACACACTACTCTAATACTGCCTTGTTCTTCATCCCTCTCAGGTAAGATGGAGACGTTCAAGAGAGAAAGCACGTAAGTCTGTGCATTTACATCAGTTTCTGCCCTCAACAAGCTGAACACTCAAATTGTCAATAATGAATTTATTGTTAAAAGTAAACTGAAAGAAAAAATAGCTCTGGAACCATCACCTTCTGCCATTTGTCCACTCTGTTTCTGTGTCATCTCGTCTTGCGTGCCGTCTAATGACCAGGAATAACTGAACCCCGCCCTCGTGTGCGTGTTCATCCATTCCTCCAACGCGCGTACTTACACTCAATGTCCAGAAACATGCTCTTCTGGTGACCTCCGATCCTGCTGAGCGCCTCGCAGTCGAAGCGGCCCAAGTCGGCGAGCCTCACGCCGCTGATGGCCAGCACCGACTTGCCGTGGCGACCGCGGACCTCGAAACGTCCGTCCTGGCTCTGCGGACACAAAAGCAACAAGTCGGAGATGGGTCAGAAAATTCTAGCTGTGAGGTTTGGGCGCTCAAGAAGTAGCATTTACTGTAGCTCCTGTCGTTTTTTTCACACATTTATTGCAGTTAATAAGCAAAAACAACCCAAAAACAGCAGCTTATCAAATAGGCTGCTGAAACAGGAGCAGATTGATTCAACCACTTAATAATTCATAGTATGGTTAGCAATTTATTTGTGTTATTATATTTGAAGGAAAAAAGCCACATCCATGCTTTATGATTGTGTAAAACTGGAGAGGTGATTAACTTATTATGATATAAAGGAGGAACACAAAGGCCCGAATCCGCCAAGTCATTTCACAGAAAGTTCCTCGCCCAACTTCGTACTTGGGACTGAATGACAGCCCCTTGATCCATTTTGACCCCCCCGCCCTCACTCCCTCCATCCCTCCCTGCAGGCAACCGTCACTTGTCACACAGAGTCAGGGTTAATGCAATAAAATGTCGATTTATTACAAGGTCATTACATCTGTATGAAGACAGATGGTATCAATTTGAAGCAACGGGTCAATTACAGCAGACGAGGCTATCATTCCAGTAATCGACATTCACTCGTAATGAGAAAAAACACGCCAGGAGCATCCTCGTTGCAGACACGATACAGCTGTAGCCTCCAGACTGTTACCTAACAGATAACCTCTGCCACCCCCAAGAAACTACTTTTCAGTGCTACTGCCCATGGACTCAGGGTTGATGCATTTGAGAGCTGCGTGACTACAGCTGGGTTTTTTATTTGTGTGTGTGTGTGTGTGATTGGAAGATTTGGAGGTCAGACACACGGAGTAAAATCATCTTAAGCAATGTCACTTGCTGCCTTTTATCTTGAAATACTATTTTTAGCCTATTTTTTTTTTCCAAGGTCATTTTTTCCCCCATTCATGCAGAAAAAACCTTTTCCAATACAAAATGTCTTGTATCTGTCCTACTTCAGCAAATCACATGATAAACATCATGAGCCAAGGCTACGAAATCTTTCGTTTGATTTGCTGTTTCGACTTCAAATGAATATTGTAATGAAGACGTTGGATGACATCTCCATTCGCAGATGTAAACAGTAAACACTGTTTGAGTTCGCGGAACACATGGCACACAATATGGTGGCAGTCTATATCCTGGGCTCTTGACACGGCTGTCAACAATAGCAGTGATGTGTCACGATTCCACTGTCACTGCGAAGCAACGCTGAAATGTTTCCGGCTTGGAGACGTCCGTGCACGTGGTGCAGCTGCCCCGCTGCGGGAACGACGAGGTCTTATTATGATGGGGGACTGACGTGGAAGTGGACACACACTCACACACACACTGCACAGAAGCTTTGTGGTTATAAACGTACACATGTCCAAGGGTATACATAGAATTGTTTATCATAATCATGATTTCATCCATGAATCACAACTTTGCTTTTCTCGCATCGTTGCCTTTCTAATTAGTCAATTAATTCAACTTCAACAAACAGCTTTAACGGAGTAAAAATAGAGTAAAAGTTATTTAGCTCAAGGCCTGAGAGTTAATGTAGGACCGCACTCAAATTAATATGTTCCTAATAAAGGAATGAGATCTAAAAAACAACTGAATAAAAAAGAAGCTGAGGCTGAATCAGGCTCCCTGTAAGCCTATTTAGCGAAGGGATGCCCCACAATGCTTTGGGAGGTTTTTATAGTTCACGCCTTAATCAGCAGGATTCTTATTTGTGTGTTTCTGCATCATCTTTTGGTGATAATCACTGATTACTGTTGTGCTGCTCTGTAATTCAGCCACGATGGCTAACGTGGTTCATGCCAACTTTTACCCCGGTCTTATTTTATGCCATACTGCATATGCCTGTATCTGTGTGTATGTATGTTTGTGTGGATGTGTGTGTGTGTGTGTGTGTGTGTGTGTGTGTGTGTGTGTGTGTGTGTGTATGTGTGTGCTAAAAATGCTGCTGGAGCTGCAGCATCACATGAGGAGTGGAAACGGTGCGGGGGCGGGGGACAGCGAGCTGTGCTCTGTCCAGACGTCACAACATCTGCCTGTCAGCACCTCTAACACTGGCTAATTACCGTCCTGTATCTTGTTTGTTGATTTTTGTCATTGCTCATCACGGTAACTAGTAATAGAGACTCTGAACACAGCGCCCAACACCCCCCCCTCCCCCCTCCCCCGCCGCTGCTAATACTCATTATGAGTCTAAGCCTCATAAGCCTCGGCCGTGAAGCCGCCTCCTCTGAATCACGCTCTCTTCATGTTGTCGCTCTCCCACTGCTTTCGGCATTATCCCGTTTAGAATGGCTTATCTTTGCTCTTATCGTTGCAATGCTATTAACCAATGAGCTGAGGCGGCTTTTAAAGGCTCGCCTCGGGTCTCCGTGTGTCGCCACTGCACGCTTCTTTGCTTGTTTACGTCGCCGGCTGAGGTCAATGGGATTGGGAGTGTGTGTGTTGAATAGGAATAGTGAAGATGGAGGGAGGAGGAGAAAGAGAGGAAATCTTCCGGGGGGGGGGAACTTCTGAGTCAGGAAATTACTCGCTAACACCCCCTGCTGCCCCCCCTCTCCCCAAAACCCCCTCCGCCAACTGACAGGGTCTGTGTCTGGAGACGAACTCAGCCCCTAAAGCGCAGCCTGTTTGATATGCAGCACAGTGGAATGACAAGGCGAGCGGCCAGACGTGAACACAACACTGGCTCACGTGCACACACAGGAGCATGCGTGTTCCGGCGGAGGCACACTCACACACACACACACACACACACACACACACACACACACACACACTGTAACACACGTGAACAGCGACCAACATGAGAGCGCAGGCAGATAAAAGGCGGAGGGATGTGGAAGCTGGGGGAATAGAGGAACTGCAGGAGATAAAAGGACAAGCAGGTAGTGGAAGCAGGAGGGAAGAAGAGAGAAAAAAGATGAAATCCTCTCCCTATCTGATCCATGAGACCTCAAAAATGAGAATGTGTGTGGGGTTTACAGTGAACATATGAAGCTAAATCTCAAATGCAATCTCTCAAATGGGATCGTGGAGACTGTCGCCGTGTTTTTTCAGACCAACTGCTGGAGAATTTTCAGATATTAAAAATGTCAGCTGGAAATGTCAACGAGGCTGGAAGCGCACTGTAGTCTAATTCCGGCGAGCGCAGCTTATTCCAACAGTTTAGTGTGGGGGCTGAACATGGGGTCTTCATAGTCGCACAACTCTTAATGATTACTGTACCACCGCATTCTCATGGCAACAACAGAGTGACATTTAATAATGGCTTTCTGCTTCAAGAAAATAAGGGGCCAGCTAGGGGGTTTCAGCATCACTGTGATCTGCTTTCCGCTGTATTTCGCGGCTGTTTTATTTCATGATGAGGTATCAAACAGAAATCAAAACAATAATCTCAGTGTGGTGTGGGAGTCTGCGTTTTGAAGGTTTAACTGCAAAGTGTCTCTTGATAAGCGCTGCAACCATCACCAATGAGAGCTTGACGTCTGAATTAGAGGAGGAAAAAAAAAAGGTGAAAAGGTTCTTCAAAAAGTTAAAATGATTGAACTATTGAACACACAGGCATCAGCATCTGAACAATAGCGCAGAGCTTTAATGTCACCAGCTCTTCAGCCTTGGTTGTTCTGCATGAATAGGACAGAGGTTACCAGTGCAGTTTGCTAACCTTGCTCATAAGCACAACAATAGCACATGAGTGAAACAATCCCCCGACTCAAATCGCGCCTCAGTTCGTAATTAAATTCCTGGAACTGCATCCCATTATGTTCTTTTAGCGAGGGTCACAGTGTAAGTTGACGGGGAGGGAGAAGAATGGAGGCGACATTATGCGGCGGGTAAAAGTAAGGCCTCTGAGGCTTTAATGTCTCTCAAAAGGAGAGGAGAGCGTGCTGACTGGATATGCAGATTGGAGAGCAAATTGAGAGAGGAACATCCTGACTTAAACCTAAATGACTGCGGCCATCCATCACGCCTCGCGCCGCACGAGCCGTGTTTGTCTTTGCGCATGTTTAGGTGTGTTGGTTTGCACGACGCATTTCCATAATTGCATTTGCTGTGGGAAGAGAGGCACTTACTCTCATTTTTGGCTGTGATTTATCAACCCGAGCGATTCGAGCCAATGCACACATTCATTTATCTCTGCGGTGACCTTTTTTCCCCGAGCAAAAGAATGGCTGCCATCTTTGTTTTTCTTTTCTTTCTTTCTTTTTTTTTTTTTAACTGCATCTGTGAAAGCTTCAGCCGTGAGACTGTGATGGAAACAGGGTTTTTGACATTGATGGCAACTCAATGAAAAGTAATTACTGTTCCAAAAAAAAAATATGTCGCTGCAGCTCATTCGATTTCTGATTTTTGGACAAAGTGAATAATGGATTCTGAGAGAAAAATACACAACTGAAGGTTAGCGCCTCTTCTGTTTCTTAAGTTGGATTAACTTCAAAAGTCAAAGGGAGGTACATATCAAAGTGGAAATTGAAACTTCAAGGTTCTTGCTGCTTCTTTGTGCGGAGAGCTAATCAAAATAAATGTGTGTGCTGATTTCCCCTGAGATAATAATCTCTGCAAAGTCGAGAGATTTAAACACTTCCTGTAAAAAAAGAAAAAAAAAGAAAGAAAGAAAACCAGGGACCAAGGTGAAGAGTACAGCTTTGAAATGATGAAAAGTCCTTGAGGCATCATGTGTCAGTTATAGTATGGAAAAGCGAATGCAGCGCAGAAGCAGACGAGGATCAATGGCCGATCACTCTTGGATGTGAATGTTATTAGCATCTGCCTTTAAGACAGGCAATAAATAGCTCTAACGGTAACGTTTCATGTGTGGCAGATGGGAATAATTATGCCTGCTTTCATTTTTATGAGGACATACACAAGTAATTACCAGTTCATGTTGGCTATTTCTTTTAATACTCAACACAAATATTTTCTCTGCAAAAATAAAAATAGTGACATTTTAATGGTTCCCATAAAAAAAACAAAAACATTACACACGTGTGGCTGAATCCTGTTTTGTAATTCCTACGTCTGCGCTCCAACTCCGGCTCAATGACTTCATGCTCTTCTGTGAGTCGAGGTTATTTCAGGACACTTTGGTTTTTATCAAAAAACCTCATTAGTGAAACTCACTGACAGCAGGTGTAAAAAAATAGGCCCTCGGATTTCAAAGCTTCATTTAAAATTGACATTTGGCAAATCACTAATTTGGCTAGAAAGTAGCGGCAGTAATGTCACATTGAAGGAGAGCTGCTGTGTTTCAAACAGCTATACAAAAAACATTGCCACATGTAGATGGCATTCAGGATCAATGAAATACAAGTGGGTGTGAATGGCAGATTGTCGGAAAGTTACAGAAAACGCCGGACGCGGCCTCACCTCTCGTTCCAGCATCAGACAGGTTCTCGCTCCTGGATGAAATCAGAAGATGATTTTTGGCAGGATCTGATGTATCCTGAAGCGTATATGTATGTGTTTTGCAAAACTGGTGAATGTTCTTTATTCTTTCTGAGTTATGTCCTATGTGCCCATGATTTATGATGATGCACGCACGCACACACACACACACACACACACACACACACACACAAACACACACGCGCACGCGCGCGCGCACAGAGCCAGATGGACTCTGGCAGTTTCTACCTTGTCTCCGTCCACGAAGGTCTGGCCGTCGCTGGCTCTCCTCCAGGAGATGTCGGGCAGAGGCTCGCCCTCAGCCACGCAGGAGATCATGGCGGCGCTGCCCTCCACGGCTGTCACGTTCTTCAGCTGGGTGATATGGGGCTGGACTGGAGACCACAGAGGACGAGGAGGGTGGGGGGGTGGAGGGGTGAAGGAAAGAGAGGAAACAGAGGAAAAATTAGTGAGGAAGTGAAAGGGTGAGTGGAAGAGGAACTGTCAAAAGATCTAACTCATAAGGGAGGGGAGATGACGGCTGTACCGTGGGGTTTAACACAGAGCTGATGCATGACTTTGGTGCTGACAGTCTAGGCCAAGATCATTTATACACTGCAGTCAAACTCTCCAGGTCCGGCATGGTGGGAACGCACGCCCTCTGGCCTACTTCTGTGCACACGTCTTGTCTTAGCCCTAGATGACAACACCAAAAACTGACTTTGCTGAAGTTTGATAAAAACATATCAAAACGACCTCTACCTGTGTGTGTGTTCCACCTTTTGTTGTTTTAAATAAATATAGATTTTTGTCTGGAAGGATGCACCCTGTGATTTCCTTTTCGGCGCAGAGCGAGCACCACAGCAGCTTCCCCCTGATAAGATGCTCTTAGCAAGCCCTGAAACACCATGCATGTCAAGGGCACAGAGCATGTCACATGAATCATGGATTGCTTCTTCTTTTTTTCCCCCTGCACTTGCACTTAAATCCCTGACAGGGTGCTTGCAAAGCAGCATGGCATAAATTCCAAAAGGAAAAGGGAAGTGAATGGAAAATAGTGACAACTGTACTGAAGGCTTTTAACACCACCCGGAGGGGGTGAGGTGGTGGTGGTGGTGGTGGTGGTGGTGGGGGGGGGGTCTAAGGAACGTTTGGGAATTTCACATGGCTTCAACCTCGGGGTGGAGGAGCCATCTCGAGGGATTTCGGGAGCTTGTCAAAACATGTGGTCACACACACACACACATTTTACGAGACCTGCAAAGACCTTCAGTGCATAGATCCTTACCTAACCGCTGTGTTGAAGCTGTGTTAAAGCTGTGTTAATTAACCTACACTAAACCTAATGCCAGATCTACTCTTACAGGATAATTGTAACACAAGTCACAGTTTAGCTCCAGCTGTCATTTCTCATCAGTGATTGACGCCATGTGAGCTCACTAAGATCTGGGGACGCGGCGGTATCACTACAACAGGGCAAGAAAAGGTTGTAAAGAACGCACCCGAAACGATGGAGGAATTAACCATTCATGAAAATAAAAAAGGTTATAGAGTTAGATTTGGCGAGAAGTGTAAAGCCCTGCCTGCACCTGCTCAAAGTTTAAAACTGGGGAAGTCAATCTGGACACTGCGATGAATGTTTACAATGGACAATTAAGAGTAATTGATTTTTCCACCCGTCATTTCATCTTCCACGTGTGTTCGGATATTGTGAGGGTTTGCGCTCCTTTCCACGTCACGCACGTGTGTGTGTGTTCTGAGATCTCAGCAATTAACCCAGCGACTACAATGTCATCGTATCAAACGGGAAAGATGTCTGAAAGCAGGAAATAAGCCTGAAATGTAAATAAATGAGTTGTCCTTTAACAATAAACACAAGTCTCCTACAATCCCAGCACTTCTAAAAATAACCACCCTAATAATGTGAGTAATTTAGTCTACAAATTGTTGTTTTCCTGAAACAAGTCAAACAGATTTGCCAATAAGCAAAGATAATTTCAGTTGTTTTGAAAATAAATCATGACTTCAAAAATCCTCCAGAATCAAGTGGCGTTTTCTTACAATGCAACAATCTGCCTGATTCTGTTTTGTGTCGAGACGAAGAGGGAAAGCTGCGGCGGGAACAAGTGAAATTATCTGAACCCCTTGAAGTTTTTCTCCTTCGAAGAAAAAAAAAAAAAGAAAGAAAAAGATTTAAAGCCTCGTGATGAGACTAAATGACTTCAGAAGATTTCTGCGGAGAGGAAGATGAGGAGCACTTCAGATGATCGTTCACATCTTTTAAACCTTGTGATGGCTCCAGTCATCACAAACGCACGCGTGTAAATAGACACTTTCGCTTGACACAAACACACATTCAAAGGCATCCCGCCACCACCAGACACACATACGCATACACAGATAACACTGTTAATAGTACAGAGACCAGTCTGAACCGGTTCTTCATCACCACCTTATCTGCAGCCGTTTTTGCCCCAGATGCCCTTCATCATGCAAATATTAAATGGAAAATGTCTCATTTATCAAGCATGGTGCAAAAACCCCACTCTACAGGGAACATTATTAATAACGCATTATCTAAAACATTTGGACTCGAAATGAGAAAGAACTGAGAAGCATTTGTGTGCTAGGAGATAAAAAAAATTCAGAATTAATTTGACCTTCCAGGTTTGCGGTATTTTTTTTTTAGAGTAGAGTTTATTCTTTTCAGTTTGATTCGTAAATTTAAATTAACTTCTGCAAGTTTCTTTTTTAACCCAGTGTAATTAAGAACAAGTGTTTTTTTGTTAACTATAATTACACTTTATTATATCAATTATAGGTATTATCATAATTATACTTGTAAATGTTGCATGAAGCTACCTCACAGCGTCAGCCCTGACACAACATACGTAAAGAAAAAAAAGCCATTAACTGTCTCAGTGTTGCAGCAGAATGTGACATGATGACAACATAATGACCAAAGAGTGTCAGTAATGTTTACCTTGACATTTCTTTGCTGCTTACACCACAGTTGGGGGGTGGGGGGGTGGGGGGTGTCCTTATGCAGCTGAACTGTATTCACATCCCCCTCTGTGGTAGCATAAAGCTGTTATCCCTCCCACTGACGGATGACTGTATCTGATAAGAATAATGTGCGCGTGTGTTCTTTCAGCATATGCAGATGTCAGTACAGATTCACTCACTCACAAGTTGAGAGGAGGACGAGCGGAGAAACACACCCCCCTCACGCGCTCTCCTGTCATATATCTTTTCAGATTGTGAGTCTCACTTCATCCCAGGGAGTTATTTTGCGGTGATGTAATTCACCACATATTATCTGCTATTATCTATTGTCTGCCTCTGCTTACGTTCGCCGTAACAAACAGTGAATAGTGTACGATGCGTATTCTGCAGGAACATAAGAGAAAAAAAGAGAGAGGACAATGCCGCGATGTGTTCAGCCATCTTGTTCGAATGATAAAAGCCCATTAAAGAGGGACGGTGTATTTCACAGACTCCTGACAACACAGCTACAAGGTGCAAACAGCAGCTGGTTGCAGAGGACAGCGAGGCTTCTGTCTGCAGAGGGATGTGCATCTCTGCTTCTTCCTGTATCGCTGCTTAATGTACATTTACTGCAGTTGCCTCAGATAGATGAACTCACTGCTGTCTACATTTACTGTGGTTTCAATTTTCATTTTGTCATTATGGGCAATTGAGTGTAAAATGAATGGCCGTTTGATCCATTCACAATTAAATCTACAAAGTAAAGTTTAAAGTTTAAGGGCGAGATGGGTGTTATGGGGGTAAACTGTAAGTTGCAAATGTTCATAGAGTGAGAACGCTTCCATCCTCCAGAGACAAAAATGCCAACATTAAAGTTCATGTCGATCCATCCAGTAGTTGTTGAGATATTTCAGGCTGGACCAACCGACGGCGCGTCCCTGGAGCCACGCTGCTAGCGTGTCTAAGAACTACTCAAGAAATGATATGTAGCTATTTCCTAACAGTGTAAATGTTGGATTTTTTTCCTCTCAGGTGCTGAACGACCCGGAGCCTAAATGGCAGGACAACTTGACATAATCTCCGAAGACTGATCGTAGCTGGAAGGACAAACACTTCTGGCATTTACGGCTCGAGGGGGCTGTTACCGGCACTTCACAAAAGTGGCCAGACGGCACGTTGCGGGTGACGCTGGACCTCCAGATGTGAAAGTATTGAAGTGTATGAAAGTGAAATAGGAATGAGGCTTCAAGCTATTAATTGCCACAATAACCCTGTTTGCGGCAACACATTGTGATAGGGCTACAGTTTTTGAAACCCATCTGTGAAAGTGAATATCCAGCAGCTGCTGCAGCTACGTAGCTCATTCCCAATCCTCCGGTGTACAGTGAAAACTCGTCTCTACGAGGAATAAATTCTCCCTCTTCTTTTGTCCTGTCTTTCATCTCATTTTGTGCTGAAGATCCTATTACCTTTGCTAATTTTACGTCTTATAATCATGTCATCAGACACAACTGAGATAAGATACATTTGTGAATCTGCTGTCTAAGCTTGACTGGAACTTTTGTGATCATAGAATTGAAGCTTTAACTGTGTACTAGTGTTAAAATCATTGGATATGATGATAAAGTTAAATCTCTGCCTTATCTAAGGGATTTTAATAGCATTCAGGAAATGTGAGTATCTTACTTGGCCCCTTTGAATATAGAATATATGTCTATGCAGAATATGAAAAAATAAAAACAAACATATCCTGGTGGAAACATGACCGACTTAAAGAAGAAACGCCGAGTCTGACGGCGTGTTGCGGCGCCTAAACATGAATTAAGAACACATACACCCCCCCCCCCCCCCCTAAATGGACTGCTCTCCTCCTGTCTGCGCTGTCAAGGGTAATAAAACTAACTTACAACTGCGTTTCCTCCGCCGCACAGTGAAAAGCGGGACTCCTCCCTCCCCTCTTAACTTCCTCATTTAAATGTGCATTTTGAAGAACAAGCGCTTCTCACATCTCGGGGAGGATGTTGATGACTTGAGCACAAAAATCTCCATACATTTTCATGAGCCGAATATGCCCTATCAGAGGGATCTGAGAGGAAATAGCCAGCAGGTTTATGAAAGTATAAATTGAAATTTTTCTATGGAGGTGTGCAGTAATTGAAATATGAAGCAATAAATGAAATATTTTCGTTGAGGAGAAATATATCATATTGATGCAGCTGTTATTGTGATGGGCTGAGGATCATATCTGGACATTTGTGCTTTTGAAAAACTGTTTTTTATATGACATGTAATTAGTGGAGGTCATCACAGTGAGGGTTTATAGATATCACACATATGTGCAATGTTATTACACTTGTCTTTGGTGGAGAATAATCTAATATTTCTATTATTAGAAATGTATATAATAATCAAAACTTTTTTATAATGATTTCTGTTAATTCAGGTCAGCTAGATTCAACCATGAACACAGTTGTTCTATAACCATAATCATGTGTTTAATATTGTAACCATGACGACGGAGGTCTCCTAACTTTAAATGCACTGAATTTTAACCCAAACCAATCTTTCCCAAAACCTAACCAAACTGTTTTTTTTGGCTAAATGTAACCAAACACTCAGTACAATGGAGATCAATTTACTTTGAAACTGCTACATACTGAGGAAATAGTCCCCATGAATGGTTAACAGTGAGGTCTTTGGTGAAAAGGAAACAATATCCAGAAGGACATGCCTCTGCTGAATTATTAAAATACAGTTTTATTTCATGGGTTGAAACTGCTGGAGGTAAGAAAGAGAGGAGCAGCTGTGATTGGTCAGTGAAGACAACATTCAGCAAGTCGAAGTAAAGGTTATTCACTCGTTTCAGTAACCAGTGAAATCACTTTTGTGGACTGCGATCACAGCTTTCTCTCACAGTGGCTGGAAGGACGTTAAAAAAGTGGATTACTTCAGCTCCTGACTGAAGTTGCACCAATCTGATATATGCCAACACAGCATCAGATCGGCTAGTGGCCTTGACGTGACCTATCCACAGTAAATACAGTCTTTATGAATGTCATTATGAAATTGGTGGTTAAATGTTTTCCTTTCTACGATCACAGGGAAAGAGGGGTTTAAAATCATGGATTCAGATACAGTAAGCGTAAAAAGTTGCTTAGTTTCTAACCTGGAACTCCCAAATACACCACCGGCCTGTTAACATCCTTCATTTCCTGTTTAGTCTTCCTGAATATCCGTAGCCGTACTTACCGAACACTTTGAGGAAGAGCTCTCTTTCCTGAGATCCCGCCTTGTTGGTGGCCTTGCAGGAGTAGGTACCCCCGTCGCCCTGCCGGATGTTGCGGATGGTCAGCATGCTGCGCCCGCCCTCCAGCCTGTTGAAGAAGTGCTGCTCTGACGGCTCCAGCTGCTGCCCTTTCCTGCGCAAAAAAAAAACACAGAAAAAGCGGAGGCACACGCCGCAGACGAGTGAGGCGGAGAAAATACAGCAAACTCGCACCTCGACCCTTGACCTCCGCAACATTCACTCCGCTGCACGTTTTGATGTTACAGATGTATAATCTTAGCACTTTGGATGTCTACTGATCCCATAAAAGAGAGGCTAAGTGCAGACAGTTTGAGTTTGAAGCTATTTCTATCTATAGCACATAAACATGACAGAGCTTTTTATAGAAACTCTTTCAAGCACAATAGAAGTCATGTTTTGAGTAGACATCTCTTATTCTAATTGAAATAACTATAGTTCAATGAATCATTTGTCTTGTGCCGTCGGGATACGTCACCTGCTATGACTTCTCAAACTCCAGCCATGCAAATAAAAATATCCCCCTTCATATTCCACCTGGGCTCACTTGTGTACATTCTGTTATGGACTGCAGTGCTCCCAGAATGACTCCGGTGTGGTTTGGAAATACAGTGCTGACTTAATGTCTTATGCATATTGGACTCTGTGCGGAAATTAGCCAGAAAAAAACAAGCAAAAAAAAGCAACTGCTAAAGCTGATCTATGTCTATATTTAAGCTTCATAGCAGAGGCATAATGGTGCGAAGCAGGTTTGCTGCCTCCCCCTGTTTGTTTATCTGAAGCTGCTTAACCAGGCGCGTCACCTATAATGTGTAAGGGATCGTTTAGTTTTTAGACAAAATCATGGGTGCTTTTTGATGCCGTCTGCATGCAGGCTGAAAGTAAAAAGGTTAGCTCCGTGACTGAATGTCTATGGGATCAAGCAGCAGCAGCAGCACTCAGAACAAATAGAAAAACGATCACCCGGACTATAAAGTCGCCCTCAGCTGATTGTTTTAGCATCTTTCAACCACTTGTTTCTGTTTTACGGCCCCTAACCGCTATGTTTTGGTTCGGCCTCACCGCTCTCATCCACTGCTATTTTCACTGCCAAAGACTCAGGAGTCGGTAGAGACCAAAGCAGAGCAAAAAGAAGAGTGAATGTTGACCAGGAGATGGCTTAAAATGGATGCTATAATGTTGATCTGCACCCGCTGGATAAGTAAACAGGCAGTGTCCTGTTGTCTTCAAGTGGTCAACAAGATCTACAGTGTGTGTACTGCTTTAACAATCCCACTGGAACATATTACAAAATGTTCATTCAAATGTTCAACGAAACATTAAAAGATGGATAAAACTCTGTAAGATAAGAAAAAGAATTACACCATTTAAAAAGCAAAGTAATCTTTTAAGGCAGAGGCAGAGGTTAGAGAAGAATCCTCTAAATTGATCCAGTGGTAACAAAGTCAGATAGTCCAGAGGTCAGAGGTGCAGGTGTGTGTTTGTGTGTGGCTGGGAGATAAGTGCTTTGAATTCTGGGATCAGCTGACAAAAGGCACAGATCGGGAGGCAGAGTGAATGAGTAATGTTCTCCTCTCCCTTTACAAAGACAATCTGTGTCCAAAGCAGGCTGTTGCTGGGTGAGAGCATGCATGAGTTTCCATGGAAGAATAACAATTTAAAAATAAAAAAGATTATAGCTGTGGATAAAAGGATATGAAGAAAGATTTGAGCAGATGTTTATGGGTTACAGCTTTGATAGAAATACTATCAGTTCCTTTTTTATTATTAATTCACCAAAAACTATTTTAACCTTAAAATATGAATGATAAGTATGAAAACACAATTTTCTTTTCACCTGTTCATTCGATATGGAGGATAATGCCCTCAATCTGAGACGGGCAGCCTGTTTTTTAACCTCATAAGCTATTGTAGAAATAGGATTCAGAAGCACAGAGCTTAGAATAGTGCATACATCTAAATATATTTAGACTTCTCTCTATGGCTCACACTGTATAGTCTATGTGAATGGAAAAAGAAAACAAGCGTATTATTTTAGGGATTTCAAATGTGGAGATTTGTCCATTCAGACACAAACGCAGGGGTGGTGTGCAGCGGGGCCTGCGCCCCAGCTTCACTGTACTGTAGGGAAAGCGGGAGGGAGGATAATTGAAAGTCGATTGAAGAAACACCAAAGCCAAGTAATAATAACGCTAGCGAGCCAAAGAGGAAATGAAGAGAGGCTTCATCTTTAGAACGGACAGTGCAGGACGGGGCTGCAGCACTGAATGTCATTATACTGACTGACTGCTGACAGGTAGTCCATTACCCAAGATGCACAGGGGATGCGGCGAAAACTCCTGCGCTGACAGGAAATGCAACCGGGAAGCCGGAGATCGCTGGGAGAGGTGACTTCAAAGGAAAAACTAAATTGGGTTGTGATTGTTGTTTACGCCTAAGCCGATGCTTTTGTTGCCGTGTGCGCATTTTAATTCTGTAGTCCAGGACTGACGTTGAGGAGTTACTGACCTGGGAAATACAGGAGAACGCACTGTAAGGCCTGACAGTCATTGGACACCGCAGTCTATCGAAGGTGAAGTGATGTCATCTCTAAGGTGAGAGGCAGACGTTTGGCCTTGACGAATGATTTACACTTTATGTATTAAAAAACAAAATGTGAGTGGAGACAAACAAAGAGTTTTCTTTTAGGTGGAGTTTTTGCAGAATGGTGTAAAAAACAAAAACAGTTTTAGTTAGACAAAAACAATTAGAATTGCAGCGATCGTGCAAATTATACAGGTGACACGTGCTGTACATTCCCGAGAATCCAGAGTCCATAATGGAGGAAGCTATCGTAGTTTATTAGCTGTGTTGCACCATCCAGTTTTATTTAAGCCTGTTCTTCCTGAGTATAAACTGCTCTGCTAAAGTGGAAGGTCATTTTCCAATGAAAATTTCCCTCTTTACTCTCAATTGCCTCATCTCTGGGTCAGTTTTTTAGCTCTAGCTCTTTGAACACGAGGCTGATCACAGTGTCAACACACAACTCCCTCTGTAAAGGCTCTTTATCTTGGCTTGGTGTGTAATTCGAGCACATAAAGACAAAGATGTCATTTTCCACAGATGAACAGGTTTCTCATTTCAATTGCCTTTTGTAATTACCGAGCCATACATAACTCAATTTCCCATTGTGCTGCAAAATAGTGACAGTGAGGGGAATCATTACGTAGGGACAAAGCTGTCATATAGATAGTCTCTATGTGAATGAATCAATACGTCAGCTCTCGCCCATCACTGCTGGAAAATTTGCTGTTTGTATTATGCATGCTGTTAAATCATCAAAAGCACATTTTCCTGGTTTGCTGTGCTGCTGAAGGTAACACACCCCGGGGTAAATATAATTTCTGTTGCTTGGGCTGGAACCTAGAGAGCAAGATGAATGAGGGTTACAAAGTTGAGGTTGTCTCCAGCTGTGCGGCGCCATTAAATTTTGTTTGTGCTTTCTAAAGTGATGCATGTGCCTGTGCCTTGCTTCTTTTTTTTTTTTCTCTCTGCCGTGATCGACTTCTCTTTCAAACTTACTACACTGACACTTCAGTTCTCATTATGTCTGCATCACTCTTGGAGAAAATGTCACATTAAACGCAGGAGTGATGCATTCACTCCTCCAGCCTGACTGCATACTTCACAGTGTAATGCACGGTAGATTTACAATGTTCCTGTCATTAGGTTAAATGCTGGAATATGTGACGTTTTTAGTTAAGGTGATGAGTGTCTACATGCAAATATCTGCTTGTTTACCTTTTCATGCACGTAGCCCTCCTTCAACATCACTCACACCCTGTGCGCTCAAACTAACCTGTGGCGCCGACATGACATTGCGTAAAAATAAATCTGCATGTATAAATGTCACCAAGTCAGAAGACAAAACGCAATTTTCTTCATCAAATACATTTACTCGAGCATTTCTGACTGGTTTATACCTGCTGGTCCCAGGCTGTACACTTGAACCTCTTGGCTGCAAATTCCCAGACTAACCTAACTCAACAAAAAAAAGGCAGCTAGACTCAAACTAAAAGACCATAAAGCATGATAGATAAAGACAGAAAATAACAACTTCAAATTGCTTTTAATGAAAGCTAAGTGTAGTTGTTTAAGACTTCACACTTAAATGGTGTGTTATTTTACCAGGCAGCGCTGGATTGTTTCCTTCCTCTGCTATTGTTGAGGGAGCTGGAGTTAACATTACCGTTATTTGAAGGACGATGCTGCCCTATCTCCCACGCTTTCGTCCCTTTAGCGACAAATAAAATTTTACCTGCAACCATTTTTCAAAGCATACTTTGATTTTCGAACGCATTTTCCTGCAGTCCCTTCCTGGCAGCCATTGATTTCCATTCATTCATTTTCAGTACAGCATGAAAAACAACTCACAGAAACCTGAGAGAAATACATCAACGCAGAAACAATGTCAGCCGTGTATCGCGTCGAAGTTACATCATTGTTGTGTGCTAATGCATTGTAAGTGCCACCTCATTTGACTTGATTATCAACCATTAATGCTGCAAATAATGTAACATGCTGTTAATTGTGATGGATTACTTACTTTAGAAAACAGCCAGCAGCAACTGATTTGTACTAAATGGGCTAAAATATGAGAAAACACTGCAATGGTGCATTATGATGAATTAACTGGAAGAATAACACAAGACAAAACAGCAGTACATGGAAAAAGTGTGAACTACACGGCAATGCCAATAAGGTGCCCATGTGCAAACAGCCTGTCATGACTGCCTGCTAAGTGGGAACAAGCTAATTACATTGATGGCGCGCTATAGACTGGATAGTGGGATATCAAATGCTCTCCAGGTGCAAATTTTCCCCACCGTTGCTACGTGGCGTGTGATATTATGGAGTGTCTGCTGAGGGCGGCGTGCGAGGGCGGACTATAAAATTCCTCAGAACTGTGAGAGAATATCTGCTTGATCTGTGATTCAAAAAAATTACAATTGTACAAATGTACAATTTTTTTCCCTCTCTCTAAAGGAAACACGCATGGGCGATGTAGATGAATACATTTGCAATGGCTATGAGTGGTAGCACATACAGTATGTCCTGTATGTTCTATCTGGAAGTAGGTTAAATCTACCGAGCAACCGATTTACTCTTACTACCACCAGATCCATTAGCATAAGTTTTACTGGTGCAGCCTGATTGAATAAATCACTAGTTTGAAAATAGCTAGTAGAGCTTAGGAGGGACTTTAGATTCAAACTCTTATCTCCCAGCATCAGCACCCAACTTCACCGATGCTCTTGTGGCTGAATGGAAGCAAATCCCTGCAGCCAGGTTCTGAAATGCTGCGGAAAGCTTCCCTGAAAAGTGGAGGCTGTTACACCAGCGGATTAATACTGGTGGTTTTGGAATTGAATCATGTATGGGGTGTAATATTTGGGTGTCCACTTGTGTATATCTAGACTGTATATCCTTCATCTTTGAGGGCTCACCAGTTTTCAAAGGCTGTTTTTCTTTTTACCCCCCAGTATCTCTCTGAGCTGTGTGTCTGAGAGACGGGAGCAATTAAGGCAGGAGAAGGTACCTGTGCCACGTGACCACAGGGTCAGGAGATCCAGAGGTGATGCAAGTGAAGGTGACCGATTCCTGGTAGTCAGCTGTGGCATTGAAGGACTGCTGGGACACTGACAACACCGGAGGGACTGTGGACACAAAGACAGAGCCGGAAAAAAAACACAGTCAGACAGGAACGCTGTCATTACACCCAGTGAGATGCAAACTACAGCTTATTCAAAACAAATGTTAGTCTTTATGAAACCAGAGGGGTGGAGGCTAACATTTTCAAATGGAAATACATTGGCCTTGTAAGTGGCCTGTAAGCACTCACTGAAAACGCTACTTCTGTTAGTAATCCAATGGGGATTTCAAGTAACATTTTGACCCAGCTTTGGTAAAAACACAAAGGAGCTGAACACAGTGATGTGAAACCATAATACTATTGTCTGGTTCAGAGATGCCCGGCTAAATCCACATAAACAATGGCATGACAAGAAAAATGCGAGTCGACATCAAACGCGACTGTAGCATCTGTGAAAACCAGGACATTTTTTTTTTTTTTTTTGTGCATGAACTATTCAACCCCCACGTGAAGCGCTCCGGCTGCAGCCATTGTTCGTTTTTTTTTTTTGACGTGGCAGATTTCCTGCAGTGTCAAAATGAGAAGCGCCTCATCGCTGTGATTTTAAGGTTAGCGGTTTCAAAGATTTGCAAATGCAAACCGAGAGGGTATGTTATATATACTCTATTTTCATTATGACTACAAAATGAATACGAACTGAAATGCATTTATTCTTTCAATCAATGTATGTTATGCTTACAATATACGCTCACATGCTGTGAGCCGTGCAGACAAGCAACAGCTGACTTTTTACAATGTAAAGCTGTAGGAAAATGTACATACAGTGTCTTAATCTTCTAGGAACATCAGTGGTTAAAAAAACAAACGGCAGTATATGCCGAGAGCTGTCAGGAAAGCTCAACCAGCTGCTGCCACCCAACCAGCCGAGGACTATCATCTTGTCATTCAGTGAAGGGAGAGCAGAGCGAGCCTTTTTCCCTCTTCGCCCCTTTGCAGTGGGACGGGAATGACAGCTTTATGGCACAAGCATGTTTATCAGGCATCTCAGTCCATTTCTCAAGCCTGTGCTTTTGTAGTACTTCTACTCCCACTAAAACCGATCTGCCGTGGCCTTGTCCGGTCCTCGCAGCGTGATCAAACATGTCTGGGGCAGCTTACTGGATCTCTGGAGCATTTCCTCCTTCGGTTTTACATCCACTGGCTAGGTGAGAACAATGACACTCAAAAACCAGGTGAAAAATCAAACAAGTCCACCGCCTGAGGCTGGACGTGTGAGCCGGCAGTGAATCATGTTCAGACACGTCAGTGAAAATCAAGTTCAGCAAAAGTTCTACTTGCAGCTTGCAGCTCGTTCTAGCCTTCATCCAATCACAAACCGACGCGCTCGCTTTCAGCCAATCATTTGTAAGCTGCCAACAACCTTTAAAAGTGTTCTCTCTCTGGTTTAAATAATGGTTTGGCCCAACGAGCTGCATTTCTAATGGGAGACATGGAGATCACAATATTGATATAGATTGTGATAATAACCATACATGGACGTCTGTTTTTGGCTAAATCAGAAAATGATATACCTTATACAACAATAAAAAAAATGTCTAACACAGCAGAAAACCACAGAGAACCCTGTTTATTAAGACTATACACCAGCATTACAGCCTGCTCTATCAATTAGCCCACCAAGTCCACTTAAAAATTAGCATATTGTAATTTTAACATGTGCAGAAGCTACATAATGAGAAAGCTTATTAATACCCGGTGTAATTGCAAAGGCCTGTGATCAGATGTTATTACCAAGATTATGTATCTATGTGTCTATCTCTGCACAGATCGCATGTTAACACGAGGTGTAAACGATGACGACGTGTAATCTCTAAACGCCTCTCTCTTCAACATGTTTTTATGAGGCACGTACTGTAACTTCAGTGTCATTTATAATCCAGATATTTAATCTCTTCAAGATGAAGATCATCCAAATATTAACACAACATCAGCTCAGCCCACACAAACAGTTATGAGCACTAATTATGTGTTATTGTAACTGGTAGCTGCAAGAGCCATACTGTTCCAGCGCCATTTGTTTTCCTCTGATTAAACAAAAAGGGTTGAAAGGCATTAAAGGTCACTCCGCTGGAAGACAACGCTGAATTCTTTTATATTCCGAAACTGTAACCAGCCCTCATTTTTTAAATTTTTTTGTGTGTGTGTGGGATTTATGTAGAATTAATGAATTCAATTTGGAAGCAGTGTCACCTGGAGGACACTTGTTCAACTTAGATCTAAAAACACCTGCATGAGAGGTGAAAATTAAATTTGACATGTGGCTCAGAGTCTCATTAATATGCTGTTTTTTTGGTGGAAAAGAAGGTGTGAAGCTGTGAAGGAAAAAAAATAAAAAAATGAATAAAAAAAGACATTTTACATCTCGGGATAATGAATAGGGAACCCTAATCAAAACAAAGCATCATTGCAGATACCTAATGAACCAAAACCCTGCAGTGTACTGGAGTCTTTCTTAAAAGATCAATTACACAAACAACACCATTGTGTATTTCTGTGTAAGTGAATAAGACGTCATGGTACATTTAAATTCCACAGTGTCTGCTCTCATGGTGTCTATTATTCATTTAGTCATTGTTGTGCTAAAAAAAAAAAAAATGAATGAATGCTTCTATTTTTGTCGTAAAATCAACACACAACAGGAAACAGGCCTGAATGAGACACACATCACGGCACAGAAAGCTTCTCAGGGATAAAAATGGCCTCAGCAAATAATCAAACACTGCGAGTCCTTTTTCCAGCAGCACTGACTCTGCGAATGAGAGGAGAGAGCATCTGCCTGACATGATAACCATTGATTTCCACGCCAATAGATCTCCATTCTCCGGTGTCCTCCTCTTCCTATGCAATGCACCCCCACATCAATGGGCCTTGTTGAAACAGCCCTGTTAATGAGACACACTGCCAAGCAGAAAAGACTTCAAAAAGAGCAGATCAGCAACAGGGTTTAAGCGTCCAAAAAGGAATATGGCAAGCTTTATGAATTCTTCATGTATTAGTCATAGCCTGGAAACTTCAGAGGGCTCGGGGGAGATAACGTGATGTTTACAGAAGTCCCCAACTAGCGTGAACTTACACTGCGAACATATTTCAAGACACAAACTCGCTCGGACCCGATTTAAATGCATGAGGGCAAGAGGACTTGTTTTCTGTTCAGCGCTAATGGGCTCAATGAAGTGAGGATCGCCGGGGTTTAGAAGTCATGAAATGTTCTTGGTAAATGTCATAACTTTATTACACTTACTGGAAATGGAGTGTTTTCTTTTCCAGGGTGCTTATTAAGGATTTGTTTTGCATCCTAGATTAGCACTGGAATCAAACCAGCCCTGATTTATTCAACTGGGAATGTAATGTAACAGAGAAGACTGTCACTGCAAAAAAAAAAAAAAGAAAAGAAAAAAGAAGAAAATTACGGAAGAAATCTTGAAGGACACAGCCGGTAGTTTCCTTTGACAGCTGAACAGGGGAAATTGTGGGTCTTATGTGTGAGTGACTGAACCAACAATTAAGTGGATGTGTTGTGGAAGGATAGCGGCCAGATCAGGGAAGTTATTTCCATTTTGTGTCACCGTAAGTTGCCATAGAAACAAATTGCGAGTAGTGTTGCTAGAGGGGTCATCAAAACAGAGACGAGAGAGAGAGAGAGAGAGAGAGAGAGAGAGATCTTTTATCAAATGATAAAAGGAAAACATTAGGCTCTATTGAGGGGAGTAAAATGGAAAAGGTTGGCATATGCGAGCCATAGATGAAGAATGTGGGAGTTAAAAAATGTAATAATTCAATCCAAAGTGAATGTCATCAAAGCAGTAGTTCAACATTAGCCAGTTAGCTTAGCATAGCATAAACAACTGGAAGCAGGAGAAGCAGTTAGTCTACCAAAGGTGAGAAAGTCTGCCGACCAACATCTATCTATCTATCTATCTATCTATCTATCTATCTATCTATCTATCTCATGGGATCCCCCTCATTGTTCAGGGATGAATCACTGCATGTCACAGGAAGGACAAACATGCCCATGTTAAACTGAACTAACAGTGGAGGTGTGTGACAGTGTCACAGAGAGGGGAACTCTCACTATTGTTCAACAGCACTTATAATTTCAAAAGCTTATTGACAACATGAGCAGAGCAAAATTATATTTGCAAATCCTCTAACTGTGTCAGGTTTCCATTACAGCGAGAGTTAACTGGAAACCACTTGATGCACGCTCTATCCAGTCCTGCTGTTTTCAGCTCGTTTCTCCACGTTGTGTTGACGCAGCCGCTCATGACTCATCTGTGGCGACTTCTGAGCTCAGATCCTGAAACGCTGTGGATTCTTCTAGACACTGAGCTGTTTTGGCCTCAGGTTGATGAGGCATTCAGCGGGGCGGTCGTCTCCCTCGGCACGCCTTCGTCCTCATCTACGGTCCGCTTTGATGATACACTGGAAACTGGAGGAACGGTGGGGGTGGGGGTGGGGGCTGCAGTGGGTCAGCAGCGCTTCATGGGAATGGGAATGCGTATGGGAAAGAATCCGCTCTCTTCCTCAACCGACCCGTGAATATTCATGACTTCATGGGGAGCGAGAGAGACGTACACAGTTACAGCTACATACGACAGGCGCTGCGCTCAGACAGAAACGGTGTTCCGCCTGGCTGCTTAAAGCAATGTCTGTTAACAAGTGGCTGAAGTAGTCGGAACCGACACTTCCTCTTGATGCGCCGTGTCCAAAGAACAAGCGCGGTGTATCCGTGGCTCAGAAATGGTGATCACGTTCAAGTGTAGTCGACGGGAGAAGCAGATCATATGGACTCTGCGGCCTTCAATCAACACAGCTGGACGGTGGCTGTGCAGTAACTAAGACATACAATTTGCAACTTTATAGAGGGAAACTCTTATGATTCAGTTGGAAGCCCTTCACCTTTTTCAACACATTAAACTGTAGAATGAAATAATCAAACCTCCATCAGACATGTTTTTTCAGCAGTAACACAAAAGACTCTCGACTTCTCTGAAGCAGGTTTCACACTGAGCTGAAAACTTTTCTGACTGAATAACACTCTTCTGCTAATCGTGTGCTTAAAAGAAAGTTGCCTCAGCGCTGAGCTCCACCTGAAGTCTGTCACTCAGATCACCCTTCTGCATATTGCACCACTGCTGTTTGGACAAGAATCAATGTCCAGATCTTATTTTGGCACCAAAGAACGCCTTAAGCGCTCCATGTTGGACCTCAGGAGATGAGGGGGGAAAGCCTGTAGATGCTCTGTGGCTGCATCCGTTTAGTCCTCACCCTTCCTTCTTTATTCTTCCTTTGGGGGGGGGGGTATCTTCCAGATAGAGTAAGACAGAGGCTGTTTTTGTTCATCCGTTTGTTTATCTGGACCTCACTGCCGAATCCCAAGGCACCACAAAAGAGAGCAGCTCACTGTGCACCGCTGATTGATAAAACATGTAGTGGACAGTCTTGTTGCACTCATTGACATAACTGAGCCTCCTAGCAATCTACACTATCTATATCCAATTGTGTTCAGGACCTCTGTGTTGTTTGGCCGGTCCGGGATGTTGTCGATACGGTATATTCACTGGTAGCCCCTGTGGCTCCCTTATCCTTCGGAAATCCTCTGCTAAGACGTGTCTCCTTGCTCCACCTTGCCATTGCAATTGCAAACCATAGAAAGGGAGGAATCCGAGTGAATTCTGGAAGTGATATAGCCCTTAAATATAATGTTGGTGGTGTAGAGAGCAGACAAGATTAAAGTTCTCCCTGGTTTCCAGGCCTAGAACAGCACTCCATCAGAGTCAGAAGAGAATTACACCTCTAGCTTGTGGGCAGGAAATTCTGATTCTGATGGGGGTTGTGTATGCAAATGACAAGCCTACAGGCTAATGCATACATGGCTTTCCTGAACATCACAGGCCTCAGTGCTCTGAAAACAACTCCTTGGGAGACTCCTGAGACCACAGTGTCCGCTGCTGTACAACAAGAAAATAGCTGGATCCAAGATTTATCAGTATGTGATCTTGTGAGAGGACAGACATTGGGAGCCACTTAGCACCCTGCACATCCACTCCCTTGTTCTTACACATCTTCCACTTCATGTATTGACAAACGAGAGGCAGCTCTGAGCAAGAGCTGAGTGGATGACTAAACATAGTCTCACTTTCTACTGACAGAGGCAGACAGTTGATATTTGCCTGCCCCCATGACAGTAAGTTAACATTTTAGAAAGTGTCCTTTCCATCTCGGTCACCTTCAGACCAGCTCTCTGTACTCTCTTAGAGGCCAGAGGCTTAAGTACAGGTTCCTCTGGAGCACGGGATAACTGCTGACCTCAGAAATAAATTCCTCTTTTGATAATGTTGGGCAATAAAAGTGGTTAAAGTGCTGCAAAGATATGTCCGCTGTTTATTTTCATTTCATGCTGACACTGTTATATACTGCTTTTCACTAACTCTTGTACAGACCGTTGAAAACTTGCAGTGTTGAACGATACTCTGCCTTCTGAGAACTAACACACTCACTTTCCCTTATGGAAATTGGGGAAAAAAAAGGCTTTTGTGTATTGTGCACTGGCAGCATGGCATACACTGCAGAGGGAGTTCAAACTCAATGAATTCATCTCTAATCTGAATTAAATGCTTTGACACTAAATCCAAAATGAGGCAGATTTCTTAAGATGCCTTTGTTACTTACAACTTTCCTGGTTATGAACCTGACTCCTTTAAATTTCTCTCTTGTGCTCTAAACCTGATTTTTAGTTCTTTTTGTCTCCTATTGTGTTTCCTGTCTGTAAATATGTTTTTATCAGTGCTGCTTCCTGTCTTAGACAAGTCTCCCATAAAAAAAGAGATTATTAATCACAATGGAATTTTTCCTGGTTAAATAAATAAATACAATAACTGTCTGTGGCTTCATTACCTTGATCATCTTTCACACAGTCATGTGACCGGTTGTTAAAATAGAAATATTGAGTATAGCAGCTTTAAGTACACATACAACAGTAACACATATCCATTAGCCTGGTGGTAACATATTAGAAAACTCATTAGTTTCACTGTTTTAGTTTCCTCTTTGACTTTTACATATTTCATGAGGAAGGAGTGGTGTTGCTACAAATCAGATTTTTTCTCCTTCAGGCTCGACTCAAGGCGCGTCTGAGTGCGCGACTCTTCAGGGATGAACCGAATGAGCCTCCTTGAGGCGAAGTGAAGTTCACTTTCAAGTGTCTCCGTCTGGGTGTGGCCCCCCCCTCAGAGAGTGTGCTCCACTCAGGATGCACTGCAAAGTGCTGCGCGGACCGTCCCATCTCAGCAACACATGGCAAGTGTCGTGTTGCTGCAATAATAGGTCGTGCCTCATTGAGCAGGCTTATTAGATCTTCCTCAGAAGTGAGGTAAGTGGTGTGCTAAATTGAATGCAATTCATAGTTTTTGGGCAGAGGGCCGCTCTGATATTACATTAGGTGGGAGAGAATTACATAGGCAGAGACAATATTGCAGCTGTTCAACCGTTACAAGACGCTTGTGGCCTTAGTGAAATCACATTTCAATCACTTCATCAGTCTCAGGTGACTCACTTTAAATGAGGACAGATGAGAAAATTAAAATTACATTCTTCGATTTTTTTAGGCCATAGAGCGCCAAGCCATTGCTAACTGAAAGTTTTAATCACACTTAAGAATAAAGAGAATAAAAAAAAATAAAATAAAAAAATCAGGCCAATGATAGCAGAAAGAGCAGAGTGGCAATGATGAGTAAGTGGAGCACAATCCGTCAAAGCTGACAACTCTGCTCTGACATTACGACTGAAGGGCCGCGAGGTTCCTGTTGCTTCAGATTCACTTGACAGTGCAAAAACAAGCCCTGAAATGGATTCAACGACACTCGAGCGAACATCAGAAAACTGACACGTTTTGAGGCTATTATACTGCATGTTTAGAAATAACAGAAATTAGCTGCTGAAAGAAAATACAGGTTCCTTTTAAGTTGAGAAATGATTGTTATTTAATCAAAGCTGAAGAATGTGACTTTGATTTATTTCTATTTGCTTGTGCAATCACAGCTGCTCCTGCGTCCATTGAGATGAACCAACCTTGCTGGTTTATTGCATTTTAACCTTGGGCACCTGCACCATAGGCTCCGGAATAATCAAAAAAAAAAAAAAGAATGAGTGGCATTCAGTTTTGAAAACAACAGCAACGGCGGCAACAAAACTTGTGTATGCAGAGGAAATTCAATCCCTAATGCATGCTAATCTGTTGACACTGTGTGAAGAAGAGCATGTGTCTGCTTGGAATCTAAATGGACGTCGTTGGTTTATGCGATTTGCATAGCTTCCATTAAAGTGGCGTGCGAAGGCCCTCAGTTCTCAGCTGGATTTCGAGGTTTTGGTTTGTATGCTGATAGTGACTTGGAAACCACATGGTTAGTAAGCAGCAACAAAGGGTTTTTCCACAATTTGAAGCTATTTAAGACTTCATTTCATTGCACATTCAGACCTCACAACAACAAGATCTCTGCTGCACACATGCAAGAATGTAGCATCTGTAACATCAGCCAGAGGCTCTGAAGGTCCATTTTGTTTCTGCAGATTAAACTCGGGTTTAACACTCGCTTTGTCAATTTCTGTTGCAATGAAATCCAAGTTAAAGAAAAGGGAAGAGCTGGGGTGAGACATACTGTACAGGCCAGGTCGAACCTGCACTGTACGTCAAGCGAACACGCCATGACACACGATTTTATGTCTTTGTGAAACAAAAAATCTACGAAAAAGGTAGTGGCTATTGAGACTCTAACTTAGTAGCCAAAACAACGTTTTTTGTAGGAAAACATCAACTTGCAGGATTTCGGATCCGCTTGTTGTTGTACTTCTAAAGTCAACTTAATGAAATGTCAATTTCTTTCAAAGAATTCAGTGTTATACAGTATATAATTTATTCATTCCTTTGCAGTAGTTTCTATATTTACTCCTCAACCTTTACGCACAGGCTCCCACATAAGCCATTGAGGCTTTTTGCCTTTGTGCAGTAAACAGTTAGTTACAGGCCTCTCGAAGCTCTTATTCTTTAGGACTTACTGTATGAAGAGTAAAAATCATCATCATCATCAAAAATCTTCAAGTAATGACTCAAAATGTAACTCACCGTTGACGACTACAGCGATGTCAACGAAATCGATCTCGCCGCGGGCCTCGACGCTGGCCTCACACCGGTACACGCCCTCGTCGGCCTTGGTCACCTGATGGATCTGTAGGTTGTTGTTTGCCAGCACCTGGAACTTGCCTTCACAGCACGGGGCGAAGAGGAGGACAGACAGGGGGAAAAAAAACAAACAAACAAAAAAAGCCAGAAAGAGAGAAAGAGAGAGAGAGAGAGAGAGCGAGAGAGCGAGAGAGAGCGGGAGGAGGAAACGACACAACAACAATAGCGTATGATAGAGAGAGAAGCGAGATAAGAAAGTTAGGAAAACAGCAGCAGAAAATTGCCATCTCCACTCTTCAAGCGTTAGACTGTCAATCTTCACTTCGGCACATTTACCTGATAGAGTCCACACAGATAAACACTCGCGCAATTACAGTTCCAAACAGTCCCCACTCCCTCCCACTGTGGCCACTGTGAGATTGGCCAGGAGTGATGAGGCCTCTATCTCATTTCTCTCAAGTGAAGATATTTATAACCATGCATCGTAATTAGAGTGAAATGATTAAAGGAAAAAAAAAAAAAAAAAACGTCTTCTCCATGTCTCATCATTACCGCTCAAATGATGATTTGAATTTCAATTAAAAAATGTGACAGATTCAAGGGGTCACTCTTTCTAATCAGTGTTCAGGCATACATTTAGTCTGGAAGGAGGATGGGGAAGCGGTGTAGAGACTTGTAAATCAGTGAGGAGGAGAAGAGGATATAATGAATCCTGGTCTGCTGGTACTTACTACTGCACCTGCCTTCTATCAGGAAAGAATATTAGTGAAAGTGAATCTGTCCTCTGAGTGCCTTTCTATCTCTGTCTTTTTTTCTCCTGCAAATTAAGGAGACCACCCTCCTGATATTTAATGCTATTAAAGCAAGTGAAAAGGGTGGGATTACAGAAGAGCTCCTTAGAAATGATATACATCAGCTGGTAAGAGACAGCGGACTGACAATATGATTGTACAGGTTGAGTTAGCAGTAGCGTGTACAGTAAATACAGCAATTTTGAGGCCTTTTTTTCCCTCAAAAGACACAGTGTACTTGTCTGCACTTTATCTCATGCGAGGCAGCATCTTCGAATGTCACCATCCAACTGCTCTGTGATCAGTCCACACAGTCGCTTGTTAACATGGTTTCTGTCCAAGTTACACGCCTCCTCCAGGGCCTGATGGGGTTTCTATTCGTAGAATTTGATAACCTTGTCTTATTGTGAAGCCACACAAAAGAAGGAAATAGCATTTCCTAGAGAACCGTATTCTTGGCACATTAGCGCATCTATTAAATGAGAGAGAGAATTGGGTAAACTGGGACTCATGAGATTTCCTTTCTCTCAGTAATCGTGTATTTGGCAGGTTTACATTCAAAATGTTATTCTTCTGAGTGGCTGCTTCCTTGAAACTTTTATTAGAATCATAATCTACTGGTGAAACGATTAAGATCAGTTACACAGTTACGTAACTCAAAGCAGCACCAGGTAAAGCTACTTTATCCAGTACCTACAATAATAATTATATTACAAAAGTCCCTCTTTAAAACTTTTCCTTTTCCTCAGTAACTTCAAATACTAAATAAACCTTGAACAATAATATGCTGCTAAAAAAAAGAATAATAAGACACCACCATACTCATGCTGCTACAAAAAAAGAGTATAAAATAACATCATATTTTTATTCATTATACAATTTTATACCAAAGGACAATTTTTCACCCCAAAACTTTAACTTTGATTCTTCCTTTTTTAGTCATTAATAGTTCAGGTTACAGAGAAATCCTACAGCTTTCAGGGGCTTTGATCAAAATTTTAGACATACTCTCCACAAAACTCCATCTGTCCATCTGTTTTATTAACTCTTCTCCCATTCAGTTTTTTTTTTTTTCAAAGGTGCACCTGTTTCCTGTCCTCATGTGAATGTGATGTCCTCGTGCATGAGAAAACAAAATGGAGAATCTTAAAAAGATTGCTCTAAAAAAACTACTTGAAAAACCTACTTGAAGTTCTTCAATAACAGAAACAAATTCTCTCTCTCAATCAAACCAATAACAAAACACCTCCCAAAAAATTAAAAAAAATAAAGTTTTCAAAGAGAAGAAAAATTTCATCATGAAAGAAGGTCATGAAAACTTACTGTGGTGCTCCTCAGTGATTTCCCTATCCTGGTAGTACCACACCACCACGGGCACTGGTGAGCTAATGACATCACACACCACCTCCGCCGTCTCGCCGTGGCGGAACTCCTGCGGTGACTGGACATCCTGAAACGTCAGCCTCTCTGCAAGATCAAACGAGATGGAGATTGAACACCTTTCTTTTCCTGTGAGTATTCAGAGCGGACGGTTTATTGCGAGTTCCAACATCAAAAGGAAAATAAGGAAAAATTGCGGCGTGTGCTCTCACTGTCCTGTTAGCTATGACTGTTTCCAGACAGAATTTAGGGTTTTGGGGTTTTGGTAAAAGTTCTTTTTAAAATGCATTTCCTTCCAATTTTCTGTCTGGCTTACATCCCTTAAGTGTAGAAGGTAGTTTGCTAGTTTTGCTGATAATACAGGAAAAAGTGTTGTGGTGTCCACTAAGCAGCATGTGTTCCTACCCTGAAAAGCCAGCAAGCAAAAGTAAAAGTAAAACGGTGAAAAAAAATGTGAATTCTTCACCTGTTGTAAAAAAAAATATTTGGTTTAGAAATGCACTTGTTTGGTAGAACTACTGCTGAAATTAAGGTATTAATCTTGTTGTGCATGATTCAGTTTCATTTCACTAAAGGAAATAACTGTAGTTCACACATGGCCCATATTTAATGTTTCTTATTGGATGGAGCTTGGGTCATGTTTTTAAACCAAGGCTAAGAAGCTGTACCCAGGCAGTTCAGAGCTATAGCTAACAAGCTCAAAGTGACTATGCTAATATCCTCATATTAAGCAGGCATAATGTTTACCATGTTTACCATATTAGTTTAAAGTGTTAGCGTGCTAATATTTGCTCATTTTGACCTGATGATGGAGCTAGATGGAAACTTAGGGGATCACCAGAGATGCTGCAAATTCATCCCAAGGGTAGCGTGAATATCTGGACCAAATTTCATCCATTGAGCCATGCTGCTAAAATGGCTAAAAAACAACATTGTTAAGCACAACATTGCTGTCACGTGACTTAACGCTCAGGAGTTCAGACTTCATGTATTCGGAAAACAGGCACCTGAAAAACAATGTGCGCGTCAGACGTGGATGTGCAGCATTCACTCACAGAATCAAATGAAACAAAAGCTAAATCCAGCTTTGACTGTTTTCTGGGACACAGATAAGGCGATTCTGATGAAACACCACAGAAGACAGAAGGATGGTCATTTTACTTGCTGCCAATCATGCCCATGACAAAAAAATGGTAAAAAGTAAGCAGATATATTCTACAGCCTCTCTGTTTGCAGAATTAGACAACAACACAAGCAGCCTTTGATTCACTCCATCTTGGCTTCAGGAGCGCTTGAATAGCAGATTCCACTGTGTGCCACTTTGAGGCTGCGTCCTCCCTCTTGACAAACATTTGGTGTTTTGACAAATTGCTTTTACGAGGACAGTGTTCTTGGACCGGCGCTTTCTTCGAACCCTGCTCTCGTTCAGATAGCCGGCTTTGATGTGCGCCGGGTCTGGCGCTGGTAGCGCTGCAACCACCTGCTATCATCTGCATGCTGTACGGCGAAGGTGTGAATAAATCAACGACAGCTCCCGTATCAGTCCCTTCCGTTAGCGAGGCTTCAGCATTAGCATTTTACTGTGTGATTTATGCCAGGCTGCTCCCTAAAATGAGCTTTCTCTCCCCGACTGCACCCTCCGACTTTGAACGTGTCTGGCATCTCAGTGTCTTCATTAACTTCAAGGATGCCTTTGCATGTTTTGTCATTCACTCTGTTGGTTTCTTAACAGTTCCCCCCCTTGTGTTCTTCTTTTTATTTCCCAAAATCTTTTGCTCTTTCATTCCCTTTGTCTTTCTCTCTCAGGTTCCAACACTTCTTGGTGTCACTTGTTCCTCCTGTTTGTATCCATTTCCTGTCTCTTTTGTAGTTGCACTGCTCTACAAGCGAATCGGTAAGGGAAACAACCTCTCCACAGCGCCACTCTACTGCACATTTGACACTGGTGAACTGAGAATATATTCAGCCCTCCAGAGTTTCTCTTCCACCATTTGCATACGCATCACTGTAAGGATAACTGTCTGATTCGTTGACAAGCCAATTTCCCTGGACCTCTCTCAAATGGGATGCAGATTTGTTCTTTTACTGTCCCAACTCTACTGGTTTTGGAAAACTGGCTTATGCAGCATTATTGCTTTGTCCATTAATAAACTGAGATGAAAATGGAATGAAATTAAAGGAGCTGGCTCAGACATTGTACTGGCTTACTTTATTATGAATTTCCTGTCACCTCATACGGCTGCTCAGATGCCAAACTACTGCAGTTAATTTAAAGCAATTTTGGCTTTTCATTTCAGTTTTCATTCAGGTAAAACTATTTAGATTTCCTTCTTCAGTGTGGAACAGCAAGGGTTTTATCTTATAATAATAATAATACTGAGTCTACAACAAGTTTACTCAAACCAACTAATATGAACTTCATAGTGGCGGAAAAGTCAGAGGATGATAAAAGTCATTAGAGTTCATCCAGGAACGTGAATGTCTTCAGAACTGCCAATTCACCAAGTAGATTTTGAGATATTACATAAATAATGTGATATGCTGTTAGTGTTCGGGATTCATCCTCTGGGTACCATGAATGTTTGAACAGAATTTCATTGCAGACCATCCAGTAGTTGTCAAAATTTTTCACTAAAGGCCAAAGGTGGCAGCAGAGGAAAAGTCAGGGGATCACTAAGGGGGGGTAGAACTCATCCCCTAGGGACCATTAATGTCTGAACAGAATTTCATCAAAATCTGGACCAACTGACGTTGCCTCGCTAGAGGTATACTACTAGCATCGTTAAAAACACACACATTATATCGGCAGCTTTTGTATAATTGTATGACGTTAACCCAAGTCCCAGCTCCCAGCTCCCTGTTTTGGATATAGAACTGATACGCCACTCCGTGCAGGCTGATTATAACAGGCCATTATAGAGATGTCAGCTACTACTGAGAGGATGTCAACGGTTTCTCTCCCACAGGTCATTATTTTCATGTACAACATACAGGCCTGTGCATTGCCTGAGGTGTCCTGGCCTGCTCTGGCTGCGCCTGGGCAGAATGGCTGGCTGGCGCTTTAGGCAGATTTTCATCCGCATGCTGCTCATGCAATCTACACCAAGGGCCTGGCTGAGTGACGCCCAGTTACCATGGAAACAATGGTTTTTGGGAGCTGGAGCTGCAGTGAATGAGGTGAGGGCTGAGCGGTGGCAGGTGTGATTGAGGCTGTGATGTCTCCCCTAATGATTTGCTGGGAAAGGATGAAAAAAGGTGATGATTTCCAGAGAGTGTGTGCGCATGTGAGCGTGTGTGTGTGTGTGTCTCTGGGAATCAAATCCCTGTACCGCAACATTTTCTCCAATTAAACTTAGGGAAGACTCCTGGTGTATCTGGGTATTTGGGTTACTCACATCTCAGAATTCACTTGGCTCTTATGTAATCCTTTTGTGTGTGTGTGTGTGTGTGTGTGTGTCTTTTGCATGCATTATAATGTTAATCCATTTCCTGTCACTGTGCTACCTGTGAACAGAAGGTACTGATAAGTATTGGGAAAGGTGCTCTAGCAAAGATCTCAGAAATAGACAGCCTGGGGTTGGATGTGGAAGTAAACAAGCCATCACAACTGTCGTGGCATCTCACTTTTAAACATGTGCACCAACATTGTAAGAACGTTTATTGGATTTTCCATATTTCATTTGCAGTTAACTGTTCAATTGTACTTAATGTCTTCCAAATACTTTGTACCTTTTTTATAAACTCACCAAATCCCTCAAGTAAATACTCAGAGACCTTAGTGTTCCTAGTGGCAGCTACTATTCTGGTCCTACATGGTTTTTCTAATTCTTCTCCACAGCAAATCACAGTAGAAAGTGGGTGGGAGTTAAACTGGATGTCACTCTCAAGGACGTTTTAATGGGGCAAACTGCGGGTAATTCACTGCTCGCTGTAAGGATGGAACTTGTGATTGGGACAGTCTCTGTGACCACCCCCCCTGCCTCGTAACATTAGGTTTTGCCCAGGAAATAGTGACGGGTCACTGAGGCAGGTTAGCCTCAGTGCCACATCCCTCATTATGCCTGGCAGGATCTGTGTCCCTTGGTATAACCAGCTGTCATTATACTTTAATCACAAGAATGAGTGGAACACACTCTCTTGCACAAGCTCACACACAAAGTCAAAAGGTACACATGGACTTAAAATGCACATGCACACAGAGAGAGCCAACATTTCTAACAGCTTGTGGCTGCGGTGAGGGCAGGAATATGAATCAGCTGGCTTTCCATGTGATCAAACACTAATGCGAGAAGTTTATTCTCTTCATGTCTCCATGTCTAAATCTCCTCGGGAGGCAAACACGGAGCATCTGCAGGTAAATGTGTAAGAGCGTATGTCTGTGCACGTTATCTGTCAAGCTTACGGTAGATCTCCAGCACGACGGAGGCCTCCTCCGTGTGACCGCCAGCGTCTGTGGCCTGGCAGCGGTAGATGCCCGCGTCCTCGATGATGGCGTTGTAAATGATGAGCCGGGACCTTGACGTCTCTGTGTGGAGCGCCATCCGCTTGGAGGGCGCGATGCGCTCGCCCTGCGGGTTGTACCACTCCAGCCTCACCGGCTCACCGATAGCTAGGACAGAGGTCAGTGAGAGAGAGAGAGAGAGAGAGAGAGAGAGAGAGAGAGAGAGAGAGAGAGAGAGAGAAAGAGAGACAAAATGAACTAATTATGATGAGTATATGTTCTCCTTTTTACCAGGCAAGCCTGAAAGATGATCATCTTGCAGCACACAGTTCCACTTGCCGTCTTGTGTAAGTCTACTGTATAAGCTAAGTATTTTAGTCCTCTCGCCACAACTCCCTCGAAAGCAAACTTCTATTGAGTCCGATTTATAGTGATTTCTTTTTTTTGGAGGAAATTTCCACCCTCATTAAACAGATCAAAGGGGGCAGTAAGCCGACAGGGTGCTCCACGCTGACTGATTTACAGGCAGCCGTTTAGGCAGCCAGTCACCAGATTCTGAAATAAGCTGAGTTGGAGGTATTTCGTGGTGCTGCTGGTCTGCTCGAACAGCTGAGGACCATCCAACATCGCTGTTGGAACTTGTCGAGGGAACAGACGGCCTGAAATTATATGATTATGTCATAATCTTGGATTTACATAGCTAATAAGTCCGTAAAGGAACAGGGACATATGTAGGCTGTAAATTCCACTCTCATTTTCCAAGATCAGGCACACATACGAACACACACACAGGCACTACACACAGAAACAAACGGGGGGGCTGATCACATACTAACTTCAACCCTGATTACTGGCTACTGCAGGAGACGAAAGGGCCATCTGCAAGCAGCAGGTGCCCTTTGCCTGTCAGTGTGGAGGGACATCACTTTGCCTATCAATCCACCCAAGCCTTGAACAAGAGAGGAAATAAACAGAAGCTTGTCCAGTCCCTCAGAGACATGTCTCTGGATTTAATTAAGGACCCAAAAGAAACAGGAAGAGAAAAAGAGAAAATAGAGATAATGCAGTTGGGACACATATGTTTAATCCCACAGAGAGAGAGGAGGCAGCTCTTCTCCCTAAATAAATGCCCTTAAGCAAAGCTTTTAACCTCCATTAGCTCAGCAGAGGGTTGTGGTGGTTCATCTCAGCAGCTCCCTGGTGTAACTGTGAGGAGGTGGTGCTCTTGTGGGGCAGTAGTTTGCAGATAATGGGCATTATTTGTCCCACAACCTGTAAATAGATCATGACATCATATAATCATCTCTCAGTTGGATAGTACACTGGTACATAAACGGTAAATAATGACAAATTGGCTGATTTGTCTCTTGATGTCCTCACTTTGCGTCTTACAAACACTTGCAGGCTCCAGCTCGCACCCCGGCATGCTAGCGCCGATTATCATCACGTTTCCAGCAGCAATCAGCATCACATCCTTGGCATGTTGGGTCTGACGCTCGTTAGGTTTTTCGAGGCCAGCCAATCAGATGAGGCGATCGAGCTCGAGTGTTGCTGAATTGATATCACAGCACATGTGGTCCTCCTGCTTTTCTTCGCACGTGGCTTCCCCAGCCGCGGCCTCGTGGTTCATGTGGAGAACAGACATCATCTCCCTTTATATCTCTTAGCATTTCTGCATTATCACCTCTTACCATTTTACAGCCTGTTGACAGCGGTGACAGCTAAATATGCTCATATTAATGCAGCTAGCACGATGACAGGCTATTTGCTAGGCAGATGATCTGAGAAGACGGGAGTGTGTAGCACTGCTGCCCTGTTTCCCACACTCAGACCTGCCTCCCTCTGTGTGTCTTTACAACTGGAAGAATAGCTGGCGGAAATGTTCTGTCAAAACCGCTCTGGTATTATTACAGATTCTTGGCAAGAGGGAACGCGCTCAATGACTGATTCCTCTGACGGTAGACTAAGACAATGATGATCACTTCTCTAGGTGCAAGCAAAAATGTCTGCACAACAGCAACAACCACAACAACAACAACTCATCGTCTGCTTTTGCTAACTGCCAACAAAGCCAACGGCTCCTCCGCATCTCGGCTTCATTTCCGCTTCAGCGTGTCTGGAAGGTGTCTCATACAAATGTTTCTGATCCTCCTTCGCAGCGAGGGCAGCAATATGAAGCGACGGAAATATTGAAGCGATCTCAGCCTCCTGTACAAGGCAGATTATTGACTATAGACATGCCCCTTTGGTGCCAAAATTAGCCGAGCGCAAGCTGAAGCACTCGCTGTGGCTGGCACTGGAGCCATGGCAGTAATTGATTTAGGCCTCCAGGGAGATGGATAGCAGGGGGAAAACAAGGGCTGAGCAGGGAAGGAATAACATGTGTGTGTGGATGTGTTTGTGTGTGTAGCTTGACATGATGTCAAAATTATCGGTTACAGCTGCCTTTCCATCTCTGTATATTCTCTAATCTGGCCAATAGGTAAACATAGGTCTGCTGGGACAAGTGATGTGACCTACCTTTGCTCTAGTTAGACACATCTGAATGAAACCACATGGAAACATAGTAGCTGCTGGACCTGGTGCGACCGCTGAGGCCGCTCTTGTTCTGGCTCTCTGCCGCTCCGGTTATAGGGGAGGATAAAAAACACGCACCTAAATACCAGTTCACCAGTTTATCCACCTGCTTATTTGTTGTGCCATGAACTCAGGTTTATTTACCGCTGACACGAGACCAATTTCACATTAGAAAAAGCTCTAGGTCTTATAATTATGTTCTTCTTCTCTATGATTGGCTGCTTTTGTTGGGAAGTTTTTTCCCCACACTGTTGTCCGGGTGATTTCAAGGATGCAACGTGAGTATTAAGAGTATTTCAAGAGCTGTACGAGTGAAGAAATTAAAAATCAGCTGAGCATCATCTGAAAAACGCCCCAGCATTGATAAAATGCAAGGGGCTGTGTTTGTATCAGATATCAGCGAGACAATGACATACCATCCAGGAAGTCACGTCTGGCTGCACAGAGGTTTATAATACTGATTTTAGAGCTTTAATAAGTTCTCAAGGTGACAATCATTCTATGCTATGCGTCGACGTGTCACTCTCCTGCAGCAGAAAACACTACGGATAAAACATACCGTCAAATAGTGGATAAAAGCCTGTCTACTTCCTGTTTCCATGCACTAACAATAACAGTAATATTGATCTTGAATCACAGCTGCAGAAGCTGCTCATGTCTGTCATTGTATGCGGTTGTCATAGAGATGTCCCCGAGCTTTCAAAACACCTGCGACATGAAGACAAAGAGGGGGAAAATTCACTCAAGGTGGCAGGTCATAGACTACTTAACCCCGACTATTTTCTACAGACAATCCCTCCAGTCGCCCCCTGCTCTCCTGCTCTGTAACTCGGTTCACCTGTTTGTTTGCTTTTTCACTCTGCCTGCCCACCCTCTCACAGTTTTTTCCTTTTCTCTTCCTGACCCCCCCCAAATACCTTTAGCCTTCTGTCTTGTCTCCTACAACGCTGTGGCCTCAATTCAGAGAGCACATTGAAGAAGAATCTCTTTGGAGCACTTCGCTGTCAAGGCATAAAATACATGTAGTGTGAGAAGAAAACAGATGAAAAGACAGAAATTGTTGAAAGGTTTTAAGAAATCATTTTTGTTGGAAGCAGGTAAAGATGGAAAAATTGAAAAAAAAAAGTCGATATTAACATACTGCACCGTGAGAAAGTCATCATATCATCGACACATTTTCCTCCATCAGCTTCTTACTGTGAGCGATGTGGTTCATTTAAATTGAGAGGGTTTCTGTGTTTTGTCTGTTCTTTACAAACTTTGAACTTTGATCACTTAGTCACGTTAAAGCTACAGACGAAAACTACACCTGGAGGAGCTTTAAAGCATTTGTAGGTAGGGCTGTAGAAAGCAGAAAGAAAAACACTAGAAAGAGCTGGGAGCAAACGATACTTCAGCTGGATTCACAAGCAAGAAGGGATGCCAGCCGGCTTCCTCCTGGCTGCCATGGTGACCAACGTTAGACCTCATCTTGACCCAAAACAGCTTGTTTAAGCATTGCTTCAGTTGAGGGGGGGGGGTCTGCTGCCAATTCTTCCTGGCAAACTTTTTGGACAAGAAAGATTTATATCGAACAAGTTAAATTGATTTCACCCAGGTGTCTTTTTTTTCCCCAACAACAACAACAACACACTCACCTCTGTGCTCTGCCTTCCCTCACAGAACAGCTTCCGACCCATGAATCAACATAAAAACTAAGTGCCTCCCTGTGCCGTCTGTTCCTCTCCTTTCTCTAATCCATATTTATACGGACATGATTCATACAATGGGACACAGCACTATAAAACCAAAAAGTCGCTGTTATTGACTTGCTCTTCGTTTATTTGTTTGCGGGCTGAATGGCTTTTGCTTTTTCGCCTCCGACTCTTGTGTCCCGCTTTACAGCCCGCTCCAGTTGGCAGGAGTGCATGTGAATATGGTTTAAAAAAAAAAAAAAGCAAGGGCTTGGTGTGATTGCTCATGGTGGAGAAGGGCAAGAGAAAGCAACAAGTGACACAAACGCTTCCTCCCACGCACTTTGACTTGGGCTGACCTCCCTTTGAACGGGAGGAAACCTGAAGCAGAACCAGGCACTGGATGGTCTGCCTCAAATGGATGGGTTGAGAGAGAGAGAGAGAGAGAGAGAGAGAGAGCACAAATAACTACAGGAGAGAGAGGCTTCTACCTTTGCCTTTCAATTCCTGCCATTCACCTCTATTCTACCTCCTCAGCACACGTTAGACCTACGCTCCTCCCAGTGTGTCTCTACTCCCTTGGCTGTTAGCTCCACGCTGAGTGGGCTGGCAGGAGAGAAGAGGCAGCCAGCAGGAGGCGGGCCGCCGCCTGCCAGAGTGTGTTGCCACCCCACCGAGCCACTGGCACCGGCGCCACCGGGTTCTCTGTGTTGATATGTCGTTCAGGGAGGACAATGAGGAGGACAGGAAGAGAGGGACGGGGCTGTCCCCTGTGAGGATCCAGTCACACCGCTGGGACAAAGAGTCTCCCAGCCATACGGACAGCGCGGGTTGCGCTGTGTTCCCTGTCGCACATACAAACAGACTTTCACAAGCGCTGCTGTAAGGACCCACCTGCCGCGTCTCTGACCTGCCTCAAAACACACACACACACACACACACACACACACACACGCACACACACACACACACACACACACACACACACACACACACACACACACATACAGTCCATTCACATAAAAAATGAAAGTGTGTGTACCTGTACAGATGAAGAATTTGGACTCTCCGACACTTAACTCCACTTTGTTCAAGGATATGGACACCTGCAGGGCGGCTGTAAGAGAGAAGGAAAGGGGGAGGGAGACGGTAGGAGAGAGAGAAAATGGATTAGTTATTACAACGCAAGAGAACGCAAAGGATTTTCATTATTTGCTGACTGGAGAGATATAATAATACAAAATTGCTTTGAAAAAACATCAGCTTCTTTCACACTGTGACTCATTTCCATGTGTTTTTATAGTATCTGAGGACCATTCTTACTGCATTTATGTGAAAGGCAGTGTGCAGCTTACATTCAAATATCCTTGTATATAAATAAGAAGCTTCTTAGAAATAACCTGGGTTTGCAGCTATTGCTAGTAGAAGACCCATTGTCCCTGCCGAAAGGAGCAATTTTTGTATTTTTATTCAAACTTTCGACTGAGAAACGCTGCTATTTCCTGACAAAGCTCCGAGACAGATTGGCTTCATACCTTCTAATGGACACATGGGTGTTTGTGTCAAACTTGTCAGTCCGTTTCACAATGAATGGCACCAATTCAGTCTAAGGTACTGTAATGCTATTTGCAGACATCGCTCTTGACGATGGGATAAACAGTGGGGTGGGAGTTTAAGAAGGTAAGAAACACCAGAGATCAGTAAATAACTCAATGATATTGGTATTTTCCATGGTGACTAACAAAACAAGAGCTTCTCAGACTGAACAGGATATCCATTCACTCTAATAACATGGTAGAAATGGACCAAAAACTTGCAGGTGGTTGCAGTGCTGTAAAATTTTGCATGGTCAAGCTACAATCAAATGCCATTTGTCTGCACTGGTCTATTGTTAGCGCTGCAATAATGCCACACAATGGCGGGAAGTTCTGTTAGGCTAAAGTGAAAGGTAGTTAGCTGAACAAGACTGGGCCTCAATCTTGTGCTGACGTGAATTTTTTTGTCGAATGGTTAGGAAGACAGACAAAACGCGGACACAGAGTCGGATATGGGGCAAAGAAAAGGGAGCGTTTGAATGGCAGCGCAGCAAGTTGGAGCTGAGAATGTGCCCTAGATGTTTAATGTGATGAGTAATGATTGGCAACTCAGTGGGGAGAGGGTCATTTTTAGGATAGAGCCTCTCGACGCAGCGGTAGTCTCGCTGCAGCACTGTGTGAGGCGAGATATTTGATGAGCCTGCCATATCCGAGCTCCCTCAGAGCTGCAAGTCTAGTTAGGATCAAATTCCAACCCCCCCCCAACAACCACACACACACACACACACACACACATTTGCACACACATACTGTATAATATACTCTAATGGATGTTAATTGTCTCTACAACACTGGAAACTTAACAGTGGAGCTCAGAGCGCCTGTCAATAATTGAGAAAATGATGAAATGATTATCTGCTCCTTCTCGGGGGAAGATGGCTGCAGCCAGCGCGAGCATCACAGTGAAGCAGCAGTTATCAGTGGGAGCCATCTGTCATGAGCCGAGGCCGTCTACAGATGGCAGTAGAGGGGCACTGGCACCTTTGCCTGAGGAGGCTGCATGATGTGTTTGAGGACTTGCTTTATCAATGCATTAGATCATTTCTGCTGTGTAACTTGACCGCTACAGAACTTAACAGTCACCTGCAGAGGCTCAGGGAACACACACACACAAACGGAACAAATAGAAAACGTGTACGCAACACATTTATATTGGCATACTTATAATGCATATATAACCACACGCACAATTATGCAACATCTTTGTGTGTGCTTAATTTTGTCACAAATTTTATAATGTAAACACACTATATACTCAAAACCTGCTTATAATTACTATGTATTATGGAACTGTAACCGAGCTACTGTCTCTACACACACACACACACACACACACACACACACACACACACACGCATTGTTGCAAATGAATGCAGATAGTGCTCTCGGGTTGATTAATCATGTCTGTTTAACCTGCTGCCCTTCCACACTGCCTTGCCTCTGACTTAAGGCAGATTCCAATCAGCGCTTAAAGTAGTTTAACTGTTTTCAATTATTAATTGATCTCGGTCCGTTCATGCTGTATGTGATTGATCATGCAATAAGTTGCTCACCAAACCCAGGAGGAAGAGGGGAAAAAAAAAAAAGAAGGGCTTTTTCTCTGCTGCCGGAGTCATCGATGTGAATCGTATAATTAAGTTCAACCTATTTTTAAGCGGAAATACACAACAGTCCACACAGCGAGAATACAGTGACATTTTAATGAGAACACTGATTTGATTTGAAATATGGCATGGGAGAATGTGTTTATTCAACACTGTCTCGCCTGGTGGCGACACAAAGAGACATGCTAATTATATCACTTTTCAGAAATGGAATGTTTTCGGTCTTGTTCACCTGCTTATTACAGAGCTTCGGGTCAATATGTTGTGAGCCTGGTAGCAATTATCAGCTCCAATTATTAGTGTCTCTGAGAAGCCTTGGAGACAAGCAAAATAAGACAACAAACAAAAACCATTGATTGCCATTTGTAATGTGTCAGAGATGGTCGATACCATACATGACTCGCCAGCTCATCTAAAAACATTGAGACTCGAATAAGAATCAATTATGAAATCCAATCTCAAATATTATGAAAGCTAGAGAAGCTGATTTTGGTCATAAAGCTGCTGCCTAATGAAAGATACTCACTTTCCTCAACAACTATCATTCTGGGGCAACAGCATTTAAGCCCTAGTTTTTTCCAGAGAACGTTTAAACCTCAACATTTTATGTACCTGCACACAGCTCATCAGTTTAAAGTGACACTCTGGACCGTTAACAAATGATAAATTGAATAAAAAGACTCTCAATTCAATACTCAGCGGTTTTGCTGATGCAGTCTGATATGAGCACAAATTCATGTTAGCGGCTAATGTTAATTAGCAAACTGAAGATAGATGACTCACATTACTAAGAGAATTTGCTGACTTTACAACCCCTGTACTCTCCTTCACCCATAGCTAATGCTGGCTAACTAGCTTATGTTATCATACTCAGACTTAAAGAATCTTGTCTACACTTTACTTTTTGACATTCATCATAATCTGGTAATTTCCACTCATGGTTAAAAATGACCAATTCCCTACAAAAAAAAAAAAAATGGATGTAACTTTTGGTTCATTCCTTCAGCCCTGATCAGCATCATTCCCCGCAGCAGAGAGCTGTTTACAGCAACAGCCAAAAACAAAAAGACTGTACACTACCCGGCACCAAATAACAGCCAGACAAAGTTAGCCACTAATTGGAGACTTAGCAGCTAAAGAGCCAAATATTTCCTTCAGACGCCAGAACATGAATCCAAATGAAGACTAATGTTGCTCTGCATGAGCTGGATGTGTGAATAGGCAACTGTTTCCCAACGCATTCATCACACCATCTTTATTGGATAATAATATGTCTATGTTGTGTTTACAGCTTGTTTCCAAGTGGCCCACAAACTCTATTAGTGCAGATTTAAATAGCACTCTGTGCAGGAATAGCTGGACTAATCACCATTTGGTGCCCCTGACTGTCTGCGAGGAAGATCAAATTTTATGACCATTAGAAGTTGTGTCTTGCTGCTTTTATTTTGTAAAACCCACCAGTTTGAAATTTCCTCTAACAGCGCCAAATCATCGTATTCCTCGAATGGAGGTCATTGAGGTCACGGTGGGGGCGTTGCTGAGTGAGCTGGCCCGGTGACATGATTCAGCGACATCTGTGCAACAGTGTGTGAAACTTGCCAGCAGCTAAGTCAGTGTGACTAAATCTAGGGCTGACTAAAGCGTGGCTAAACGCACCGTTGCATTTAGCAGCAGGCTAAATCCAATGTTTGATTGACGGGGTGGAGAGTGTCCAATCAGCTGGCAGGGAGACAGGGATGTGATTCTGTAATCCTGTACTCCATTAAAAGCCCCATTAAAGCCATGGCCAAATAAAATGCACCGCAGAGAACATGCCTTTGTGTGTTTGTATATATGTGAGTGTGTGGGGGTGTATGTGTACTGTATATCTTTATTCGTGTGTGTGTGGGTAGCTGGGAGGCTGTGAGTGTGTTTGCCCATGTGCATGTGTGTAAATGTATTAAACACACAGAGCAGATAGGCCCAGAGGCAAAAAAATGCTCTGCTTTAATTGTCTGTGATTTTGTGGAGGAGTTGAAGGGAATTCTTCCCTTGAACCACAGAGACAGAGAGAGAGAGAGAGAGAGACAGAGAGAGAGAGACAAAGGTAAGAAGTAAAGAGTGGGTAGAGCAGGAGCTAAAGAAGGAATGAGATAAAATACTAATTACTATGTTTTGTATTCACTCGAACCTGTGTGTCTCATGCATTTCTTCAAAGGTGTTAGCAAAGGCAGAAAAAAAAATATCCAGGAAGAAATGAGCTTCGAAAACACCAAACAGTCAGCATTCTTTAAAAGCTGCAAAGTCTCTCCGGTGAGCGGTGGCACAAGGTGCTGAGCGATAGTACAGATGTCAGGGATTTCTTTGTTTAAAAGGAAATTCCAGTTTATTACACCCTGGGCCATATTTTTGTTGTCGGCCATCATCTCAATTGGTTGTGATAATGCTGCAAAATCACAAATTTGTCTCAAAGGGCTTTACAATACAAACAATGCAAGGTACTGGCAGCACATTGGAGAAGAGCTGAACCATGAAAGTTAGTCTTTACACTGTGATGGATGTTTACAATGAAGACTGTAGGTTATAATTCCCCCACAATCTTTATTTTCTCTTCCAGGTAAGTTTGGCTGACCTGTCTGATGCTTCTGTTGCGCTTATTTTTAATGATTTTGCTGCGTTACGAGATGGCTAAATGGCTAAATGGCTAATGGCTAAACAGCTAAAAGGCTAAAATAAGACCCAATTATTAATTAATTGCATGATAATTTACACCAGCACTGGATTGTCTCACTACCCTTAAACCTTTAAAAAACAATCAGTGACCCTCTTAAAGTAACAGAATAACCCCTTCAGGCTTTGGCATGCTGGGAAATGTAGTACATTATATTTTGACGGATAGCAGAAAGAGAAAAACAAGAGTTGTGTTACGACCCATCTCC